GGGTTCTGAGAAGATGACTGGTGGGGGAAGATGAAATTGCTTCGACTCTGTTTTGGGTTCATTTGATTTTGACTGCAGTTCAGTGAAGATGACTGCAGCTGGGAATTTTAAATTTGTTTCCACTTTGTTCGTGTTTGCCCGCTTGGTGTTCGTGAAAATTTCTGAAAGAAATTTGACTTGAAAGTTTGAAACTTTCAGCATTTTTGGTTCAAGTCAGTTGCGTAAATCAGATTGGTCATAGAGCCTCCCTGTTTCGGCGTCTATAATACATTTGATACGTCGCCCCCTATCCAAGATGCTGGTTAGTTTGGGTCCAAATAGTTGCTCGTCTTATGCATGCAACCACATTCACGTATAGAGCAATCTATGGTGCGGTTTTGGTTATCAGTAAGTTTACTGCTTGTTGATCATTCCAGATGTTTGTAACAACTGCAGAAACAGTTCTATTTCAGTATTGGATAGCTCATCTGCTTCAGCTGGCTAGATGTCTGCAAAGGGAAGGAAAGTTTTGGGGAGGGGGGAGACAATGGCAGCAAATTATGCATTTGGCCCTCTTGAAGATGACGTAATCATAAAGCATAGACTATTAACCCGAACTACAACAACAAGAGGTGAACCGCCATTGAAGAAGCTTCAAAAGAAATTCACCTCCTTTGTTGTCGAAGTTGAGAAGGATGAAGATAACTATGGTGAGTGTGAGAAATTGTCTAGAGCCTTCTTACAGGAGCTTTCTACTTTTGAGATTCCTCTTCTCAAGAGCAAGGCGGTTGTCGGTGCTAACGTCAGAGAGAAGGATAATTTCAATGAGTTGAAAGACGATATCAACAGGCAGATTCTGCAGGCACAGGCTGATATAGAAGAGCTGAAGAAGCAACTTGAGGACAGTAAGATTGAGAGGAAGCATAAAGAGGAGTGTGAGACAATTAGAAAGTTGATTGCTCTGCAGCCACCGAGATCGGAGACGCAGAAGATCATTACAGAGCTGGAGAGAGAGATTGCAGCTCTTGAGGCTGAGAATACAGCAAGTTCAAGAATGCTTGAGCTTCGGAGAAAGCAATTTGCCCTTTTATTGCATGTGGTATGTGCCAAATGTCGGTATTTGAATCAGCACTTGCTTTTCTTAACTGCTCGACATGATTTGTTTAAAAGGCTCGTGTTAAGCATGGTTTAAGACTGTCCTCGTAACTTATCTTGTAGTCAGCCCAGTATTTAGTGAATTGATAGGACTAGTATATAACCATGCCTGTCCCCATCCTCAGTTAACCAGTTTGCTTACAAATTCAATTGAACACAGAGCTCCATATTTATTGTCTCTCTAGCACTCTCACAATTCTCTCATTGTTGAGTACTCAGCAATCCCCATAAACATATGATTGAAGTAGTTGCCAAATTGAGAAGCTCTTATGTGAGAATAATGTGCATAGTAGTTTTGTCTTGAGATATGGTACTATTATTATGTCATCTTTTTCGGCTTTTGTTGAGACTCCAGAGTTGGCTTTACTTTGGCGTAACCTTTATAACAAATTCATCTGCCAGTGGTCATACCTGCTAGATGGTATTTCTTCCTCTGAGATATGACCGTTTTTCCAACAAAGTTTAGATCATTTCCTCTTACAAATGATTAACTATTCCACTTAGTGAATAGTGCATAAGTACTCATCTTGAAAAACTTTCGGTTCCTATGTATATATAGGTGGAGGAGCTACAGACTACTTTAGAGGAAGATCAAAAGAGTCTGATTGAGGAGATGCTGATTGCTGCAGAAGAACAGAAGAGTGGATTGGAGGATGCTAATGGAGGCTCTGAAGCCATGGTAGTTGATTAATGGGTATGTTGTGTTTTGATGCTGAAACTGTAGTTATATGTACACTGTCCATTTTTCGTTTTTTTGACGGTGACTGGGATTAATTAGTGTGATGAATGAGAGAGCTTTTGTTCAATATCAGTCCATTTCTGCGGAGCAAGAAGGTTACGATTCCATGCTGTAGCTTCTCATTCAATTCTTATTTTCGTGTTTTGCCTAGTTGCTTTGCATGGTCATGTTGCAATGGCTTGAAATGCAAGATATCCGCATTTTGTCGTGAACTCTTGAATCTACTGCTGTTTTTATCTGATTTAAGATACATGTAAGCATTATGAGGAAGATCATCATTGATTGAAGAAAGATCTTGCAAATTCCTCTGTTTCAGATACTTATTTGCCTTAATTCGCCTTTTTTTGGGAAGAACGCCTTCTGTGGCTTCTACCCCTTACTGCTGCGAATCCGTCGTGGGTTGAGAATCAGATCGTATATCACTATCTTGGACAAGAACATCAACGAACTTATCAAAAAATGCAGTGACTGATGATAAATTATGTTGTAAATGGATGATTGACCTTTATTTTCTTTTTATTCTTTCCCCTTTTTGGGTATGATGGACATGGATGAAGCATTCCTATCTCCATGAATTCCTTTCATAGGGGACATAATCATTGCTTATTTCACTTTTTCCACAACATGCCACCTTTCCTTGGTTAACTCATCTAATAGGTGAATAACCGCAACCCAATGAGTTTCTCTGTAATGCCATACATGTTCATATGACAACCGTGGAGCTGGATTTTCTTTTTGCTTGATAGGGTTTTAGGACCTAGGAGTTCCCACGATCCTTGTAAGTCCTTCTAACTGAGTATGCAATTTTTCCCCACAGGATATTTCATCGATCCTAATCCATAATGACAAATGAGTATCAAATAATCGAAAAAATTGCATTGGAGAAAACACAAAGAAGTGTGTTTTCATTGCTGATATCCAATACATGTCTCGCTCTTTCTTTATTTTTTTCTCGTATGTTGCTCTCAAGATTGAGTTTTAAACAGTAATTTCCCGTATGCTGACGCTATCAAGGGAAAAGGAGGGCCACGAAGGTGTGAAATTGTCGTATGCTTTGGTTTGTGTCGAGGGACTTGTGACCTTATTTGCTCGGTTTCGACTTGTGTACAATCCCAAAGAGTATTTCTCAAGTCTTTCTGAAGCAACAAATTCCTCCAACTCATGAAAAGAGAACGATGTGCGAATGCCCGAAAAAGAGGCGGAGGCTACTCGTCACTGGTCCGACGTCTGGCGCAGTCGGTTTGACACCATCAGAGCAAATTGCCCTTTGGGCAACCGATCTCATTTGATCACAATCATGTTTCCGGCATCACTCGGTTGAACTAGTTGGGCTTCCTCAAGCACCAATTCGAGTCACAACTCACAATCGAACTAGAAATTCGAGAATTTTGTTGAACTAGTTGAAGCGCATGAACAGCAGTGATGCGTCATTTACTTCTTAAGTAAGGAATGTACGTAAATAGGCGGTTAATTGAACCAGTAAAAACATTTAGCATGTTGAGATCAGTTCTCGGAGGAACTTGGATCCTTTTGCCTGGTGGATTGACAATGGCCAAGAACAATTTTCTCATTTTTGTTGTTGGGCAGTCATAATGAAAATTAGTCAATGAAATATATTTTTATTATCAATGAATGCTCTTACTTAAGTTATGGAAAAATGGTTTTTGCTATCAAAATATCTAAAGTCATGGATTGAGATTAACACCAGTGACTTGGCTTATCGAGTGGAATACTTCGTTTGTTGTAATACTATCTGAGCGATTTGAGTCGGGACTTTAGCGCTCAGACCCAAGTCCCCAACTTTTAAACCCAAGACCGCAATGCCCAACATTTACTCGAGTCCCTAACTATCGGGACCGTCAATGTATGATCGAACCCATCCGACCTGTCTCCAATAATCGGGTCCGGATGCCTTAACCTGCGAAATCAACAGCCTAATCAAGGGCTTTACCAGGGACCTTAGCAGCCCGACCTAGGTGCCCAACCACCAAAACTAAGATCTCGGCCATTGAACTCAAGTCCCGGGTGCCCCAACGTTCAGATCTAGATTACCGACACCTGAGCTTGGGTCCTTGTGCCGAACTAGGTACCTTGGTGTCACAGCCCAAGCTTGTCTATCACTTCATTGCCCCCGGCAACTTGAGGCCCGCATGCTTCTAGACTAGGGATATAATTATAAAAATATAATTTTTTTCTTTGAAAGATGAACTGTGTTAACCAGTGCTCTGGGAAACTTGTTAAACATCTGAATAAAAAGAAATTTTGATATTTCCAAGATACTATATTTCTCGTGTTATGCATAACCATTGTATTGAAATTGCAAATATTTTTTTTATTAGATATGATTGACAGATTCTCAATAATACTTATTAACAATATCTTTTGTAAGATTTTAGCAACATGCCATTTGTAAGCAGACAGAATATCACCTCGCCCAAAGAACACAGCAAACGCTTGAAAAGCTTTATAGGGCCACAACAAGACAACTACATGTTAAGCCCCCCTCCTCGAGTCCTTTCGTATTCTTACACTTTCGTTTGTCCCGATGAGCTGAATGCACGAGTGGCTTGTTCACATCCATTCTCCATTACCATTAGCCGTCCTATTTACTTGTTGCATGAGATATACTTTGCATTGTGTGGCGGTACGCACCTCGTACACAGTGGTTGCACGCTAGAGCAGGCGCTCGCTATCATACTAACGCAAGCGAGGATAGTACCCATCACACAATCTTAAACAAGTGCCCAGCTTGGACCGCGACACTGGACACTGGACTTGAGACCCAATTCCCGGATCCCAAATCCGGCTCTAGAAGGTACTTGACACACCTGGACTCAAGCCTCCCAAACTCAGGGGTCGGGATGGAGGCCTCAAAGGACCAGAAACAGGACCCCGGTGCCCAAACTCAGGACCCCCAACCTGGACTTGAGACCCTAACAGCCAGACTCGTATCATCAACAGCCAGACCCGACGGGTCACCATCCATAGGGCACGCGTCCTTTCTCTCGAAAATCCCTTTCTGTTCAGGAGGCGGTTCAATTCCGCACGACACTGCCCAGATGGATAAAAATAGATGCATGGCCAGAGTGACCATGAAGCATGCGAAATTCTCTCCATTCTCGTCCCATTTCGTAAATACACCTTTTCCCACAAATCTTTATGCCACCAGCCCAGAATACAGTTTCAAGTCATAAAGAAAGAAACAGAAGATTACAGGGGATTGGGAGAGATATCAGATCCCAGCAGAAAACAAGCAAAATGCAGACTACAAAGCCCAACGAAACACCCTTCAAAACATCATGCTGGTGCTATACAAAACCCAAAACTGCTTCCACAATATCTAAAATTACAATATCTCAACCATCCATCCTTCTTCAATCAGGACTCAGATGCAGCAGATACATTCCAATCACCAACTTCATCTTCAAGCTTGTACTTACTGAAGTGGTTGACCTTAAACTTCCACACTCCTTTGACAGGGTCATACGACACAAACTCAGCACCTTGATCCTCAGCCTTCTTCTTGAGCATCTCCTTGTACTTCTCAACTTTAGGCCCTTCTGTCCACTGTTGTCCAGTCTTCTTGTCGGAACATTTGATGTTGAGAAGTGTAACTTCAGCTGGCTTATTGAGACCTTGTCCAATAGGAGGTTTCTTGTTGTCGTCCAAGTAAACAATCACCTCTCGGTTGTTAAACTGGACAAGGGCTTCAAGATCAAGTCGTCGAACATCAGTCTCACCAATGAACTTGATACTTCCATAACCATGCCGCCCCACGATGAAGTCCTTGACACGGCGGCAGAACCCTGGCTCAGCCCTTTCCTTGGCAGCCAGCTCTTGGATTCGAGGCTCAGTGTAGTAATCGGAGTGACGAAGCTTGGGCATTAGCGCCTCAATGTCTGCACCATGCTCATACACTATTGCAGCCTCACCAGCCCTGTGTCCATTGAGCGTCATTGAGGAATCACCTTTCTGAACGGAGTGATCATCATGGACTCCATTTGATTTGTGGCTGCCTCTAACATGATCGGTTTGATCCTTCACACGACCGTTTTCATCTGGACCTCCTGTTGCTAGTTGGAAATAATAATTAAGTTAATCACATAAGGTTTTGGATCTACAATATTAATCATGTTTGTTTACATATTTCACACCTTCTAAATGAAACTAATTCTGCATATTTCCAAACCAGTAACATCTCTGTGATTGGACTCACCTCTGGGAGACTACTTTCTCATCCCGAATATAGACTAAAGATTGTTTGAGAGAGTATCATACACAAAAATGTCGGCTTTGTTAGGAGAAGCTTTTCACTTATCGATAGAATAAGATGTTACTTCAAAAAACAAAAAATCATCCAAGGCTTAGCCAGGACTTTGCTTTTGACTTTTTGAGTAAAAATATATGTAAAGACGACTAAAAATTATTCAAATTTGAAACATAAGTACATACGTTTTCTTTTTCTATGGTCTTACAATTTCCTCAGCAAAAGCTACAACTTCAAAAGTGAAAATACGCAGAGACTGCATCATAAGTGAAAGTCACAAGCCACAATAAAGCATCAATTTCCTCAAGAAACTCGAACAGAAAAGGTATCAGAGGGAGCAAAGGCAAATGAACATAGACAATTGCATTTCATTCACTTTGGAGTCCAAAATGGTAAAACTAGAATTCGGACACTAAAACAATAGCCCAGGTTTATGAGTAATCAAGAAATATGGAAAAAGAGAGATGTATATAAGGGATAGCTATTCATTTTCAAGTGTTATATTTGGGTTTTGTAATAGTGTCAAGTTGTGTCACTGGAAACGCTACTTTTTATCATGCTATAAAACTTACGCATATTATAAATTTGAAGCCAATCCGTGTCACTTTCAGGTTTGCTATATAATCACATATCAACATGTTAATTTTTTGTCAGAAATTAAATCATTTTGAATGAGATAAAAATCACCACACATTATTATTGAATTTACAGAACTATACAGCAAGACCCAGACATAACAATCTTACCATTTTCCTGCCTGGGTCCAGATGTGTCCTTCAATGGAGATGGTTTTTCTGTGCTAGTTCTCGAAGGCCATTGCTCAGATGGACGGATAACCAGAGCCCTCGGATTTTCCCGAGGAATGAAAAGGGCGTCAGCCTTTGGCGTGCTAGGTGTTTCTTCATCCTCACTAAAAAAGGGAACCTGAAATGACAATCCAAAAGTGAGGTTCATCGTAGCACGAGTCATTGAGCAGCAAGTGCATATTCCCAGTATTCTCTGGCCAAAGAGAGAATAGCTCTGATATTGTCCCATCACTAGATCAATGTTCTAGAATATGTAACAATAATAGAGCACATCAGTAAAGTAAATCCACTTTCACCTTTGGCGCATCACTCTTAGGGTGGTATTTTCTTACAGGCAACCTAATCCGCCTCTGCGACAAATGCCGGGATGTCAATAAAGAGGATATACGAACAGGAGCAGGTTTTTCCACCACCTAGACAAAAGGATTTAAAAGATTAGATCACTTTCAACACAGCATAAGCATACCAAAAAATAAAAAATAAAAAGGCACAAAAATTAGCAACCAAATGGAAAGTACCCTTCCGTATTGGAGAAACCAACGAAGAAATTCAAACAGGTCAACAAACTCGTAATCATCTCATGTAAGACAGCAAGATAATCTTTACTTACAGGCATGCTGGAAATTCCGTATTGAATAGAAGAACTAGTCCCAGTTCGGCCAATTGATACTTGAGGCATCGCAGGAAGGGTTCCGAATGGATTAGTGGCAGGAACTGGTTGCATGACCGCAGGGGTCAGGTTGGCCGACCTGTTGAGCATGGGCATGGCATCATTAATTAATTGCACAGTGCAAATCCTTTCTTTTATTGGCCAACGAAGAGTAAGTAAGCAACAGAAAGAACGAAAAGATAATACAACTAAATAATTGGAAACATATGTAGCGCCAAATCAGGTGAGACAGACCCAATGCAGTTATACAAATAAAGAGCAAGTATAGTGTAAAAGGACGCACGGATTTCCGAGGTTGCTCTGGCCAAACATATTTTGGGTACCAAAAACACTGGTACCAGCTGACAACACAGAACAGAAATAAAATTAGCATAATATACATACAAATTCATCTATTGACACCAAAAGAAAAGACAAGACATATTTGATAAACTCAAGTAACCTGTTTGTGTCTGACCCAAGTTGCCAAAGCCAAAAGGACTGGTTGTTTGGGCAGGTTGAGATGATTGAAAGGGGGTCGAAAAGGAGGGCTGCAGATAAAACATCACATTTGATTAAAAGAGAAAAAGTGAACCCAACTCCACCCTCCTCTCTCCAGAAACCAATAAAAAAACTATAAGTTAAACTAAATAAAGTATCAAAGGAGGAGCAAAACTTAACAATTATAAAAGAAAAAATAAAACTGCAAAAAAGCAGAAGCTACACATATGATGCTGCAATAAAATTTAAATAAAAATCAACTTACATTTATTTGAAATCCAGCTGGAGCTGTAGAAGGAAGCTGTGAAGAAGTGCTTGGGAATAAACTTCCCCCAAACCCACTAGTAGGTGGGCTGAACATGTTTGTTTGACCTAAGGAAGGAGTAGTCGTCTGACCAAATGGAGATGTAGTCTGTCCAAAGAGAGACGCGGTCTGTCCAAAAGTAGAAGTGCTCTGTCCAAAGGCAGAGCCAGTCTGGCCAAAGGATGGCGTAGTAGATGAAAATAATGGGGTGGACTGAGAGGTAAAACCAGAGCCAAATTGAGTGCTCCCCATAGTTGGAGAACTAAAAATTGATGTTGATGAACCGAATGCAGAAGGGCCTGATGTAGAAAAAGTGGATGAAGATGAACTGGCCCCAAATCCAGGAGTTGGATTTGATCCAAACAAGGAAGGTGTGGCTGACGCAGTTGAAGAAGCAAAAGGTGAAATGCTAGGTGTAGCAGAGGATCCAAACCCAGTACCGCCAAAGGGTTTAGAAGCAAAAGGATTGGATGTTGTGTTGGAAGCAAAAGGAGAAGATTGACCAAATGCTAGTGAAGGAGTCGAAGAAGGTGCACCGAAGCCAATAGCACCAGCAGACTGACCAGCAGGATTCGGTCCACCTGAAAATTATGCCAGGTTAGCATACAGTCAATGCAGCTAAAGCCAAACCTTATATAGAAAGTACATTCTGAGGGGTGCACCTTTATCTCCCGCTTGATAATCCTCCCATCTAAGCTCCTCATGGCTCTTATCCTTATATACAGGCATTGCTGATATAGACTCTAGCTTACCAGCTGCCTGAGTCCCACTGCCACTTTCTGCCTCCGTTGTAGGTGTGTAAGGAGCCACTCTACTGCCCCCACGCTGACCTCCGAAAGGTGACTGCCCAAAACCACCAGTTCCAAAAGTTGGTGTTGTGGCCTGGGCTCCTGCATGACAAATAATGTGAAAAGGCCAAATTCTTATAATGAGCTAGTACACTGCAGTGAAATCTTATTCATAAGCTATAATAGCAAGCCATGACACAAAATCTGATAGACCAGCCTTTTTTTTTGGCAGGCTTGATATTCCAAGGGGGAACTGGAAGACGATAGTAGTCCAAAACATCCTGGAGCAAAATGAATTCATTTTACAAGACTCACCAATCTGGGATCCAAAAGGGGATGATGTAGCTCCAAATGGACTGCCACCAAATGCAGAGGTTGATTGGCCAAAAGCAGGAGAAGAGCCAAAACTGAAGGATGGACTACTAGAAGCCCCAAAAGCTGGAGTACTTGAGGCACCAAAAGCTGGAGCACTGGAAGCACCAAAAGCTGGGGTACTGGAAGCACCAAAAGCCGGGGTACTTGAAGCACCAAAAGCAGAGGTACTTGAAGCACCAAATACAGGAGTATTGGATGTGCCAAATGCAGGGACACTCGGAGATCCAAAAAGTTGTGTACTGGAAGTCCCAAAAGCTCCCCCTGGGGCGGTTGATGAGCCAAATGCAGTCCCTGTGCTACCAAATGAAGGAGTGGTAGTTGAACCAAAGGCAGGCGTGCTTGTAGCACCAAAGGCAGGAGTGCTTGCTTGTCCAAAGGCAGGGGTGCTTGTAGCTCCAAATGAAGGGGTACTGGTAGAACCAAAGGCAGGAGTGCTAGTACCGCCAAATGCTGACTGACTTGATGCACCAAAGGTGGGGGAGGAACCGAAAACATTGCTCCCAAATGCTGGCTGTGATGGCTGACTTGTGCTTCCGAAAGGACTTGTTTGAGGGGTCGAACTAAACCCACCAAAAGCAGGCTTTTGTCCAAAAAGAGAAGATCCTGTTCAAAAAGAAGACTATTAGTGAAGGAAAATTCTCAGCTTGTAAGCCAGATAAATGGAGAAACAACTGCATTTATACTATGGAAAGAAAAAAGATCCAAATTCGACTGCTATTTCAGTAAGGAATATATCTCTTGAAGTACAATAGCCAGGTGACTGAGTATTGGAATAGAGGACCGGAAAGAGAATTGTGACTAAAATGCAAACTTCCACCAAAGAAAGGTAAAAGGATTATCAATAGATAAGTAGACATTGATTGAATGAACCAACTAAAGTTCTATAGATCCTGCCGCAATCAATGCCACTTAAAATAACTAGCATCAGCAAATATTAGGCAAGGTGCATGTGAAGCAGGCAGTTGAAACTAAATTCAAATTTATTTTCATTAAACTCAAGGCTAGCTATGGTTAGTTGCTCATCTATTCCAGAGCTGAATTATATACCTTAATGTAACACGATCGGAGTTGACATTCCAATCTAGACAACTGTCCAGTACTCACAGTGGATAAAAGGAAAAAAAATCCTCATCAACAAATAATTTGCAATGGGGTCCAATTCTGACAACTCAATATTCTTTCAAGGCAAAGCATGAGAAAAACCTCATGCTCCAACAAAAACTCAACAAGAATTTCTTCCCCTTGAACACATTTAGGTATAACATTGTTCAACACTTTGCAAGCTTGAAGCCCTCATTTGTACTGAACAAATCCTCTCCTTTATGACTGTTTTCCAACTTCCAGAAAAGCATTAGCTAACATGGAGTTTGTAAATTCCACATTGGGAATTTTTTGCCACTGTGCTTGAACTATCTCTTTTTCAACTTTTGATCAATTGTCATCGTGACACAAATGAACATGAGAAAAGGAAACTTCAAAGCGTATCATATAACAAACATGAGAAAAGGAAATTATTTGGTATGTGATATTTAGTCGGAAAGACACAAATGGAAACTGTTCAACTTGCATCCAAAGACCGGAACCTATAAATCTGATCACATACCACGAATTTAAGAATTTTGACCCTCATGTCACTAAATGTATGGCCACGTTTCAGGGGAATCACGAAAGCAAATCACATGCCCAAATCATCTTAGACAAGTTCTCATCGTAATTGCGCTCATTTCATGAACGGGTACATATAACATAATAAACATGCCTGCCCTCCTTATACCCTTGAGTTTCCTTGAGCTTATGTGGCATTTTGCGTTCCTAGAAGATCCTAATTGCACTTTAAATTTGATAAATCCGGCTGATTCAAATATGCCATCTCCAAACCCACTAGTTCACCTTTCTACAAAAGAAAAATAACTTAAGTTGCTTGCCTTTTCGCTTCTGCTGTATTTGAATAGCAGAACAACTACTATTCTCGTTTCTCAACATGCCAAGCAAAAAAAAAACTTCCCGTGATCTGTTTGAAAACTAGGCTATCAAAATTCAATTCCCAATATTCTTCCCATATCAAAGATACAATGACTGCCCTATCAAATGCCTATCTATAAGTTCACTTTCAGAGGTTCCTCCTGATCAGGAGGGTAATAACTTATCACTTACCACCAAAAGCTGAGGAAGAGCTTCCAAAAGCGGGAGTTGATGATGCACCAAAAGCGGGAGTAGAAGAAAAAGGCGAAGAGGGTTGTGTAGCACCAAAAACACCAGTTGAAGTTCCACCGAACATGGAGCTCCCCGTTTGAGTGCCAAAAGGGTTTGGGCTACCAAAAGGTTTTGGGGCAAAAGGATTGGTAGGGTTACTTGCCTGCCCAAAGACTGATTGGGACCCGAAAGGACTGCTAGATGATTGCCCAAAAGCTGTAAAAGGGGTACTGAATTAACATAACCAAAGAAGGTGACAATAAAAGTAACACTATAAAACAAGATAAGCACATTATCCTCGTAGCTAAAGTGTATAAAGAAACAAACACACATGGCCCAATAATAGCAAGCCATAGACATTCAGTTGCTCTGGAAGAAGTATCTAACTATGCTATCTCGACAAGAAGGATTTTTATGTGTCCAGCGAGAAAGAAGTCATAGCAAATAAAACAGCAGCGTCGCAATGATATGTGAAAGATGAATTGAATTAACTGAAAAAAGTTCATGAAGAAAAAAAAGGGTAACACACTGCTGGATACTCATGGCATACATAAGAGAAAAGCACTCCAAAAAATTCATCAGACAACAACAACAGGTTGGAAATCGGCAATACATAAGTTAAGGAAAAATGTCATAATCCATCACACGAGGGAACTTTCACGAAATACAAACTGAAGAGAAATCCATAAACAAAAAAAAAAAAAACCAAAGCAGCATCATCGCAGGGAATAGGCATCAGCAACAAACAGAAGATTCAATAGTTCAATCAAGCAAACCACCCTGCCGAAGAAACTAAAATTCCAGAGACAATACTCACGGTTATTTCCGCCAAACATCCTCGCTGTGATTCTCTAGACAGAGCAACCTATAAGAACTTCAACAATCCCACGAAGCCGGATCAGAAGCCTGCAACATCATTCCAAAGAATCAACAAAACGCAGAGACCGCGAATTTTTGACGACACATCGGCAGGCGATGAGCATAAACTAGAGATTCCATAGCTACACACGCGAAGCCAAACCCAATGCCAACGCAGCGAAACAAACAACAGCCGAGGGGCCGACACTAACACAGCCTTCAGCTCCTCAACCCAACCCGCCTATCAAACCTAAAGGAACGCGCGCGCAAGCGCACAGCAGGAAGCGAAGAAACGGCGGGCGAAGAGAAGGCGATCGGGACCCCGGACGCGCCGATCCTCGCGCGCGGGGAAGGATCGAGCGCGTCGCGGAGCCGGCGGAGCTATGGGGCTCGCGACGGAAGCAAATGGCCCGGAGACGGAGACGGCGGCGGCGGCAGGGTAGGCGGGGGGCGGAGGAGCGGCGGCGGTTAGGGTTTGCGGAGGTTACCTCGATCTGAGCTGCTGCAGAAGAGCGGGAGAAGACGGAGAGAGAGGCGTCGGAGCCACCCGAGGCGAAACGACGGAGACGACGATGAGTGAAGAGAGGGGAAGGGGGGCGTGGACGGAAGCTGGGGGATGGATTATATAAGCGCGTGGCCCCGAGCTCGCTGGCGGGGCGCGTGGTCCATAACGTGCGTTAAAGCGAAGCCTTCTATCGTAGATGTTGTCGTGCAAATAAGTTATATCCGTATTAGGTAATTAGGACTTTGGATTCCATGCTTGATGACTAATCAAAGATATTTCTAGAGAAAAAAAAATTTCGAACAATTTATATAAATTTAAGGTTAATGTCACGAAAAATTTCAAACTAGTGTACCTGGAACTAATTTATCTTAAACTAATCTTTTGACCATAAAAAATTTCAAATTGGTACACCCGTAACAGATATACCATAAACTAATTTTTTGACCACTAAAAACCCCAAAATAGTACATTTATAACAAATTTACCCTCCGTTAAATTGGATTAATATCACGAAAAATCACAAAATGGTACACCCGTAACAGATGGAGGGTAAAAAAACTCTAAATTGGTACACCTATCAACTACCACGTGTCATTCAACTCCGAAATTTGACGGTAAAATTTAACGGAAACTAACAAACGGTAAAATTGTCACAGGTGTACCAGTTTGGGGTTTTTTGTGGTATTAACCTTATAAATTATAGTAAACAAAATAAGTTATTTTTATTGGGATTAGTGCCACGAAATATGTCATAAATGTACTAGTTTAGGGTTTTTGATGATAAAAAAATTAGTTTGAGTAAATTTTTTACAGGTTCACCAATTTAGGATTTTTTATGATTAAAAAAATTAATTTTTGATAAATTTACCATAGGTGTACCGATTTTGGATTTTTTATTGTGTTAACCCTTAACATTTTAATGAAGTAGACAGGTGTCTGCATGATTATGTATGAAGTGCTGATCGATTCATTTATGCTTTGACATCACCTATCGTTTGCTCTTTAAGGCGTCATCGACGCTTTGTAACCCAAGCGCTCGATACCGTCGCTCTCGTCGCCGCGGGGGACTTCTAATTACCTACCAGGCAGCTTATCCCTGGTCGCCGTGCCTTCTATCGTAATTTCTATACGAGCCATAGCAGGGAAAAGTGCTAAAAAAGTCATAAACCTTTTACATTAATGTCAATTTAGTCATAAACCTTTTTTTGGTGCCAATTCAGTCCTAAACCTTTTGCATTGGTGCCAATTTAGTCCTAAATCTTTTTTTGGTGCCAATTAAGTCCTAAACCTTTTAAATTGGTGCCAATTCAGTTCTAAACCTTTTGTTTTTGTACTAATTTAGTCTTTCCGATCAATTTTGACCGGAATTTGCCAACGTGGACGCCTGCCGGCCGGCGGCCAGTCACCGGCACCGACGTGGACAACTTTAATAATATTTTAATATTTTCTTGAATTTTTTTTTCCTTTTTTTTTCCACTTTTTTTTTTGTCCCCCCTCCTTCCTCTGGCCGGTCGCCGGACCAGAGGCCAGCGAGCTCGACCTCGCCGGCCACTAGCGAGGGCGGCGGTCTCGCCTGGCAAGCCTCGCCTTGGTCAGGCGAGGCTCGACATCGCCAAATCCGGCGAGATCGGGCCTCGCCGACCACCGGCGAGGGCGGCGGCCTTGCCCGGCGAGGGCTCGAGCCTCGCCATGGTCGGGCGAGGCCCGACCTCGTCCGGATCCAACAGGCCGCCGCCCTCGCCGGTGCGGCGAGGTCGAGCTCGCCGAGCCGGAAGGAAGGAGGGGAACAAAAAAAAAAAAAAAAAAAAAAAAAAAAATAGAAATTCAAAAAAATATTAAAATATTATTAAAGTTGTCCACATCGGTGCCATGTCGGCGCCGGTGACCGGCCGCCGGCCGGCAGGCGTCCACGTCGGCAAATTCCCGTCAAAATTGACCGGAAGGACTAAATTTGCATAAAAATAAACGGTTTAGGACTGAATTGGCACCAATTTAAAAGGTTTAGGACTTAATTGGTACCAAAAAAAGATTTAGGACTAAATTGGCACCAATACAAAAGGTTTAGGACTGAATTAACACCAAAAAAAGGTTTAGGACTAAATTGGCACCAATACAAAAGGTTTAGGACTTTTTTGGCACTTTTCCCGCCATAGCACGCAAAATCCTGTAAAAAGGATACGACTGATGGGTGCGGTCCATTATCATTTGATCCAATTGCTAACTGGCCTCCCGAAGACTAATTACTTGTGGGATTGAAGAAGCTCTCCTCGCTGCATATCTTGACTAGTGTGGTCGTGCCCTCTGTTAGAAATATGGTAAGACTGGATAGGTTTCCGCTTTATTCTTCCTTTTGTTTAGACGTTTATACTCTTCAAGGAGAAGCAAAGTTCTTGCGCAGAGAAGTTATGCTAAGCGTTCTTGTCTGAGAAAGTTGCAGTTCCTCACGGCAGGTTTTTTTCTCTTGAATCTTCTTTCAATTTGCAGGAACATCTTTGTTGTTGTTTGAGTGACCATCTTATCTTCGAGATCTGTTTTAATGTTAAAAGCTGTCAAACTAAAAGATCATCAGTCTGCCATTGTTGACTCTTAGGAAGTAGATGCCGTGAGGGTTGCACGGTAGTGTGACTTATGTCCACGATAAGAACAATGAGAATGTTGCCAAAGCAGTAAATACTATTATAAAGCAGCTTCCACTTTAGAAAATTCAAAAGAGAAAAGAGAAAACCTAGACACCTTGTGATCCCCTCTGCCTGATTGAGCTGCGATGTAAGTCACAACTCGCACAAAAACGGGTTCGAACTCAGAGAAATTATCTAACAGTCTTGTCCCTAACTAAAAACGATAAAGTGAAGATTCACCTCCTCTCTTCTTCAAAAAATTCTAGATATTTCTGAGGGGAGTGAATCAATAGAATGATGCGAAGGGAGTGAATCACTAATCTCTAAAATAAGGTAAGGGGGATGAACCACAAATTTCTTCCATATTGGAGAAACCGTCGAAGAAATTCAAACGGATCCACAAGCTGGAGTACTACTGGAAGCGCCAAAGGGTGGAGTACTTGAAGCGCCAACAGCAGGGGTACTTGAAGCACCAAATAAAGGAGTGTTGAATGTGCCAAATGCAGGGGTACTCCGAGATCCAAAAAAGTGTAGTACCGAAAGTCCCAAAAGCTCCCCCAATGGTGAACCCTGAGGTGATTGATGAGCCAAATGCAGTCCCGGTGCTACCAAATGGAGGAGTGGTAGTTGAACCAAAGGCAGGGGTGCTTGTAGCACCAAAGGCAGGAGTGCTTGCTTGTCCAAAGGCAGGGGATCTTGTAGCTCCAAATGGAGGGGTACTGATAGAACCAAAGGCAGGAGTGCTAGTCCCGCCAGAAGCTGACTGACTTGATGCACCAAAGTTGGGGGAAGAACCAAAAACATTGCTCCCAAATGCAGTCCCTGTGCTACCAAATGGAGGAGTGGTAGTTGAACCAAAGGCAGGGGTGCCTGTAGCTCTAAATGGAGGGGTACCGGTAGAACCAAAGGCAAAAGTGCTAGTACCGCCAGATGCTGACTGACTTTTTTTTTTTAGGTCGAAGATGCTGACTGACTTGATGCACCAAAGTTGGGGGAAGAACCAGAACATTGCTCCCAAATACAGTCCGTGCTACCAACTGGAGGAGTGGTAGTTGAACCAAAGGCAGGAGTGCTTGTAGCTCCAAATGGAGGGGTACTGGTTGAACCAAAGGCAGGAGTGCTAGTACCGCCATATGCTGACTGACTTGAGGCACCAAAGGTGGGGGAGGAACCGAAAACATTGCTCCCAAATGCTGGCCGTGATGGCTGACTTGTGCTTCCGAAATGGCTTGTTTGAGGAGGGGTCGAACCAAACCCACCAAAAGCAGGCGTTTGTCCAAAAAGAGAAGATGCTGTTCAAATAGAAGACTATCAGTGAAGAAAAATTCTCAGCTTGTAAGCAAGATAAATGGAGAAACAACTGCATTTATACTTTGGAAAGCAAAAAGATCCAAATTCGACTACTAATTCAATCAGGAATATGACTCTTGAAGTACAATAGCCAGGCGATTGAGTATTGGAATAGAGGAACAGAAAGAGAATTGTGACTAAAATGCAAACTTCCATCAAAGAAAAGTAAAAGGATTATCAATTGGGAAGTGGACATCGATTGAATGAACCAATAAAAAGTACTATTGATCCTGCCGCAATCAATGCCACTTAAAATAGCTAGCATCAGCAAATATTAGGCACAGGTACATAAAACATAAAAAAACATGCCTGCATCCTTAGACCCTTGAGTTTCCATGAGCTTATGCGGCATTTTGCGTTCCTAGAAGATCCTAATCGCAATTTAAATTTGATAAATCCAGCTGATTCAAATATGGCATCTCCTAATCCACTAGTTCACCTTTCTACAAAAGAAACATAACCTAAGTTGCTTGCTTTTTGGCTTCTGCTGTATTTGAATAGCAGAGCAACTTCTATTCTCGCCTCTCAACTTGCCGAGCAAAACAAATTGAGTTATAGGATAAAATTCAACATACTCTCCAACTTGTCCCACGATCTGTTTGAAAACTAGGCTATCAAAATCCAATTCCCAATATTCTTCCCATATCAAAGAAACAATGACTGCCCTATCAAATGCCTATCTATAAGTTCACTTTCAGAGGTTCCTCCTGATCAGGAGGGTAATAACTTATCACTTACCACCAAAAGCTGAGGAAGAGCTTCCAAAAGCGGGAGTTGATGATGCACCAAAAGTGGGTGTTGAAGTTCCAAAAGATGGTGAAGATGAAGCAACAAACGGAGGCGTAGTAGAAAAAGGCAGAGAGGTTCGAGTAGCTCCAAAAATACCAGTTGAAGTTCCACCGAACATGGAGCTTCCCGTTTTGAGTGCCAAAAGGGTTTAGGCTACCAAAAGATTGTGGGGCAAAAGGATTGGTTGGGTTGCTTGCCTGCCCAAGGACTGATTGGGACCCAAAAGGACTGCTAGATGATTGCCCAGAAGCTGTAAAAAGCATTCCAAATTAACATAACCAAGGCAGGTGACAATAAAAGTAACACTATAAAACAAGGTAATCACATAATCCTCGTAGCTAAAGTGTATAAAGAAACAAATATGATAAGAAAGAAAGATTAAAAGAGAATGGTATTTGTTCTCTTATAATGGTGTTTGAAACAATGTACATGAGAAGCCTTTATATAGGCTTAGAGGAGTAAAGGAGCCTAGCATTCTTCCTATGTGGGACCAAAGAAAAAGAAGAGATGTAAAGGAAAACCTACAAAACTATACAACATGTTCTAACACCCCCCTCAAACTCAAGGTGGATCAAATAACGAGAGTTTGGAAAGAAGAAATTTAAATCGTTGTGATGTAAGAGCCTTCGTAAAACAATCGGCAAGTTGATTCTCAGTTCCAACAAAAGGAAGTGAAATAGTGCGAGCTTGGAGATGATGACGAGTCAGATGACAATCGATCTCAATATGTTTGGTACGCTCATGAAAGACTGGATTTGCACCGATATGAATGGCACTCTTGTTGTCACAATGCAGAGGAGTAGGATCCAGAAGTGAAACTCCCATATCAGCAAGTAACCAGCGAAGCCAAACAATCTCAACAGTAGTGTCGGCCATAGCATGATACTCGGACTCTGTAGAGGAGCGTGAGACAATATGTTGTTTCTTGGAACGCCAAGAAATAAGTGAATCGCCAAGAAAAATGCAATAACCAGTGATAGATTTGCGATCAGTGACATTGGAAGCCCAATCAGCATCAGAATAGGCACGCAACTTGAGAGTAGAAGAAGATGGTAGAAATAAGGAACGCGATAAAGTGCCTCGAAGATAGCGCAGAATCCTTAGAACAGCTGCATAATGAGTTGTTCGAGGAGCGAATAAACCGACCGACAACATGAACAAGATAGGCGATGTCGGGTCGGGAGATAGTAAGATAAATAAGACGCCAACCAAGGTCCGATAGCGGGCGACATCAGAAAGAGGTTCTCCATCGTCTGGGCAAAACTTCTGATTGAGCTCAATAGGAGTGGCGCGAAGACGTGAATCTGATAGAGCGACCCTGGACACCGGACGTAATATCGCGGTATATTTCTGCCGAGAAATGAGAATACCACGTGAACTGCGAGAGCAATCTCAAGCCCAAGAAAATAGCGCAGTGGTCCTAGATCCTTCATGGCAAAATGTTGCTGAAGGTGCCGCTTGGTATGCTCAATATGGCCACGATCATCTCCGGTGATGACCATATCATCAACATAAAGAAGAAGAATAGTGCAGCCTGAATAAGAGGTATGAACAAATATAACATGATCAGCCTCACTTTGAATGAAACCAGCACCTTGAATAGCATCACTGAACTTCTCAAATCAAGCATGAGGGGCCTGTTTGAGACCATAAAAAGCCCGTCGCAAGCGGCAAACCTGTCCAGAGGTATGAGCAAGACCAGGCGGAGGTTGCATAAAGATATCTTCCTGAAGATCACCGTGAAGAAAAGCATTCTTCACATCAAGCTGAAAGAGAGGCCAACTGCGAATTGAAGCAACAGCTAATAAAGCACGGACAGATGTCATCTTTGCTACGGGAGCAAAGGTCTCATCATAGTCGATACCATACTCTTGCGAGAAACCTCGAGCAACCAGACGAACTTTGTAACGCTCAATACTGCCATTAGAACGAGTCTTAATCTTATATATCCATCGGCAAGATACGAGGGAGCGACCTGGAGGAAGAGGCACAAGCTCCCAAGTACCAGTACTCTCCAAAGCCGAGAGTTCCTCAGACATAGCCTGGCGCCATTCTACATGTTGAACTACCTCGCGATAACTATTAGGTTCTTGTACAGCATAAACAGCAGCTAAAAAGGATCCAAACTCAGTAGAATAAGAAGCAGCAGCAACATACCGGGCAGGTGGACGCCGATCTCGAGCAGGATTACGGCGTGGCTCTAGTTGTGCAGAATCATCGAGGGCAGATACAGCAGGAGGTGCAGTACAAGGGATAGGTGAAGATGGAGAAGGTGGCAATATATCTAGATCCGATGTAGAAGAGGGACTAGAAGGGTCAGGTAGAGGATCAACAGGAAAATCCATAAATGGAATACGAGACGAAACATGAGGTGTAGTATTTGTCGAAAAGAAAGGGATGTGTTCATGAAACGTAACATCACGAGAAATACGTACACGTCGCGCATTTGGGTCATAACAACGATATTCTTTGTGCTCAGTGCTGTAACCCAAGAATGCACATGGGATAGAGCGGGCGGTAAGCTTTGTACGTTCAGTGAGTGAAAGAATGACAAAACAAGTACATCCAAAAACTCGAAGATGATTATAGCTAGGAGGTCGAGAGTAGAGACGCTAAAATGGGGTGTCTTGATGGAGAACAGATGAGGGTAGGCGATTAATTAGATGAACAGCCGTGAGAAGAGCCTCTGCCCAGAACTCAGTGGGAACGGATGTGCCAAGTAAGAGAGCACGAGTGGTCTCTAGAATATGACGGTGCTTGCGTTCAAGCAACTCCATTTTGAGCCGGAACCCCAGGACAAGATAACTCGAGGAAGTGTACCATCACTAGCTAAGAGGGAACGAAAGACACCAGAGAGATATTCTCCCCCTGAATCTGAACGGAAAACTCTGATTTTTGTATTAAATTGTGTGGAAACCATGGAAGTAAAAGACTAATAGATGGTAAAGAAATCACTACGTTGACGCATAAGATAGACCCATGTATAACGAGAATAATAATCAATAAAAGATACATAATATTTGAAACCATTCTTGGAAGAGAGCGGGGCAGGACCCCAAACATCAGAATGAACAAGATCGAAGATCGCACTAGTTCTAGAGTTACTAACAGGAAAAGGCTTAGCAGATTGCTTGGCCAAAGGGCAGGTAAAACATGGAGGAAGACTACCAGAAGAAATAGGACCCAAAACACCTTGATGGTGAAGGACGGTGAGACGAGAAGACGAAATATGTCCAAGACGCTGATGCCACCGAGCAAGATCGAGGGTAGCCAACACAGGATGAGGAAGAGAGGAAGTTGGAAGATGGAGATGTTGCATAATATAAAGTCCATCCCGTCTACTGCCCCTGCCAATTATCTTGCCACTCAAACGATCCTGCACAAAGCAAGAGCTATTTGTAAAGCTTACAGTACATCCAGTATCGGTGAGTTGTCCAACAGATAATAAATTGAGAGCCAAAGAGGGAACATGTAACACATCAGGGACATTGAAATCTTCAGAGATCGGTAAGAGTACCCTGTCGGGTAGCTAGTAGAGAAGAACCATTAGCGAGAAAGAAATGTCTTGGTTGCTTGAGCTCGAGTGCTTAGTGAGAAAACAGGCGGAAGTAGACATATGTCTAGCGGCTCTGAGTCAAGTACCCAAGTAGTAGAAATATCACCCGAAGGTGGAGTAGGCTGCAGCGGTGCTTCCAGCGATGAGAGAGATGTAGAAGTACCGAGAATCGGGAAAAGACCTGGGTAGAGAAGGACTCAATCGAGCAAGTTGGGTCTCAAGAGCAGCAATACGGTCATCCGTAGAGGGAGAAACCAGAGTAATAGGTTGAGAGATTGGAGATGCGGTAGTGACTCGTGGTGATGCAGAAAGGCGTGAAGCATTCCTCTTCTTCCAACAATGTGACTCGTCATGACCAGGACGATGACAATACGTACATGAAAGGCGGCGAGGACCACGAGTAGGCGAAGGACGTGGTGGAGCAGCCAAAACTATAGGCGGAACATGTGGTAGAGCAGCCAAAATAGCAGTTGAATCAGGAACTGCCGAGGAGGAAAGAAGACCAAGACGAGTTTCCTCAGACTGTAATTCTTTGACAGCGTCAAGGAGGGATGGTCTTGGAGAGCGGTGAAGAAGTTGGCTGCGAACACCTTCATAGGGAGAGCCGAGCTTCATAAGAAAAGAATGCAGACGATGCCTATCTTGAGTCTGAAGCCGAGTAGATGGACACCGAGTATAGTTCAGGCATGATGGGCGGAGAATAGGAGCAAGAATATCCAGTTGACTCCAAAGTGAGTGCATGTAATTGTAGAAATCTCGAATAGAGCGAGACCCTTGCGTAGCACTGTAAACTTCTTGCTCCAACTGATAAACTCGAATGTCCCCTGTCTGGGTGAACATCTCGGCAAGTTGATCCCATAAACTTTTCGCCTCAACAATATTAGAAAATCGTGGGCGAAGAGCAGGATCAATGGAACCAAAAATGATAGTCCATGCCTTCCGATCAGCAACTTTCCATGCTCGAATTTCAGCGGCACGTTTCGCAACTTGATCAGATGAGTCACTTTTAAGAGCACCAGGACAAGGACAAAGTCCCTCAACATGCTCAAACAAGTCGCGGTAAACAAGTGCTGCCATTGCCGATAGTTTCCAAAGAGAATAGTTTGAACCATCGAGTTTGACGTCAATACGGTCACTAGAATCACCCATGACGACAGAAAAAGAAATCACTAGCAAAGCTAGAAATATGGATTGAGGTGATCGAAAAGATCGAGAAAGAAGAAGCGCGGATTAGAACGAGCAAGGATGATGGCTCAAAAGCCCTAAACTCATTATCTTAATTTCTGATGCGGAAGATCCAATTTATGGCAACCGCAGAGCATACTTTAAAAAATAATGAGCTCATTGTCTTAATTTTTTATGCGGAAGATCCAATTGATGGCAACCGCAGAGCATACTCTTCAAGACAATGAACCTGGCTCTGATACCATGATAAGAAAGAAAGATTAAAAGAGAATGGTATTTGTTCTCTTATAATGGTGTTTGAAACAATGTACATGAGAAGCCTTTATATAGGCTTAGAGGAGTAAATGAGCCTAGCATTCTTCCTATGTGGGACCAAAGAGAAAGAAGAGATGTAAAGGAAAACCTACAAAACTATACAACATGTTCTAACAAAATACACATGGCCCAATAATAGCAAGCAACAGACATTCAGTTGCTCTAGAAGTATCTAACAATAGCAGCATGAAAGATGAATTGAATTAACTGAAAAAAGTTCATGAAGAAAAAAAAGAGCTAACACGCTACTGGATACTCGTGGTAAACACGAGAAAAGCACTCCAAAAAATTCATCAGACAACAAAAGGTTGGAAATCTGCAATACAAAAGTTAAGGAAAAATGTCATAATCCATCACACAAGAGAACTTTCACGAAATGCAAACTGGAAAGAAATCCATAAAAATAAAAATAAAAATAAAAACAAAGCAGCATCATCGCAAGGAATAGGCATCAGCAACAAACAGAAGATTCAATAGTTTCAATCCAGCAAACCACCCTGCCGAAGGAACTAAAATTCTAGAGAAAATACTCACGGTTATTTCCGCCAGACATCCTCGCTGCGATTCTCTGGACAGAGCAACCTATAATAACTTCAAAAACCCCCCGAAGCCGGATCAGAAGCCTGCAACATCATTCCAAACAATCAACAAACACAGAGATCGCGAATTTTGCCGACATATCTGGCAATGAGCATGAACTAGATATTTCATGGCTACGCACGCGAAGCCAATCTTAATGCCAATGCAGCAAAATAACAGCGGAGGGGCCAACACTAACAGAGCCTTCAGCTCCTCAACCCAAGCACCCATTAATCCTAAAGAATGTTAGAATATTTAAATATTAAATTACGCATTCATTTAATGGCTTAAACTTATACAACAGTTGACAATAGTTCCACAAAACCTTATATGCTTTTAGAACAATTGGAGTGGTCCCACATATCCTGATTCTTTCCGGACCTTGTTTGTCTTCCCCAATTAAATATATCCACACTTAGTACTAGGCATGGATCGTTAGAATATTTAAATATTGATCCATGCATTCACATGATAGCTTAACCTTTTTATCAATGGTCCCACAAAATCTCACGAGAAACACGCACAGCATGAAGCAAAAACAGCGGAGAGACGGGCAGAGGAGCAGCGCCAGTTAGGGTTTTCGGAGGTACCTCGATCTGAGCTACCGCCGCCGCTGCTGTAGAGCGGAAGATGGAGAGAGAGGCATCGGAGCCACCCAAGGCAGAAGGACAGAGACGATGAGTGAAGCTAGGGGATTATATAAGCGTGTGGCGCGAAGCTCGCTGGCATGGCATGTGGTCCAGAACATGCATTAAAGCGGAGCCTTTCTATTATAGATGTTGTGCAAATAAGCTATTCCCATTAGGACGCGAATAATAACCATTCTTGTCACGCCCCGAACCCCGCGGGCGCACGACATCCCGCTATGGTCGTTATGATGCGACGACCCAGGACTCGTCGCCGACCCTTTTCTTTTTATCTTTGAATTACGCAAGCGGAAACGATAACCAACACAACAATCCCCAGACAATAATTAAATCGGGGATAGCAGAGGAAAACCAGACATAACAAAAGCCATTTTAATATTCACTTGATTAACCCACGGGAACATACTTACAGGCCCACTCCGGGCGTTTTCACAAAAGCCAAAAAAGACAAAGGTTAGGGTTAATCTACTCCATCCAAAAGATCGCTTCCAGGCCTAACCCTCAAGGACCAACCAAAAACCGCGGTACTCCACACCGCATAAGAAGCAACGACAAGCTAAGGTCCTGAAAAAGGTTTAACAACAACAAATGAGATAAAATCTCAATAAGTTAACGGCCTAAGCCCCGCTTAGGAGGCCAACTCGCACGGGGGTCCCTAACCAGGCAACACAGCATCAACAGCACATTATTAAACAACCGCAGGCATCCTTACCTCGCCTTGGTACACACGTTGATGAAATGCATATGTCGCAAACTCGAAGCATCTAAATCAATTACTCATGCATCAATGCATCACAAGCGGGCGTGTCCCGATTATAAGATAGAATCCACTTGGGCACGTCCCATACCATGCCTAGCAGTTTCTACCACATAATCAGGCACTAAGTATCACACGTATTCCAGTTATTACGCCCCCTCGGGGCCACCACACATCAAGCGATACGCAGCAAGATGGCGGTCTACCGGTAAAAACCGGGCTCTGTCCCGCCCCGTCGGGCACGGCTACGTCAAACGATACATAGGATGACGGCATTCCAATACGGCAACATCAAACGATACACAGTAAGATGGTATCCCGTAAGGAGCATCAAGTCCGGCCTCGGGCCGCGACAAGGCATCCGGGGTATCGGCACTCCAGATTATCCCCAGGCATCCGATAAATCGGGCAACGTCAAGCGATACACAGCAAGACGGCTTTAACGTGTGACCACACGAGCACACAAGCATACCGGCCAATTATTATCTTTTCAATTAGCCCATGCGTCCATGAATAGTGCTCACACAATGCCGCATAACAAACCAAGTGGTCACACATGCAAACAGTCATTCAATTCTTGCAATCTTCGATGCTAAACATGTTTATCAATCACAAAGCATCACTACCAATTACTTGGCATGACAATAAAAATAATTTAATGCCAAAAACTCGTAAACTTTCTTAAAAACTTCCGATCAAAACAGTTTATCATAAATTCAATTTAATTTCAAAAATCCCATAAATACTTTCTCGAATCAAAATCATTTAAACCGTTTTCCAAATACGCCAACTTATACGGCGAAATCCAACATTGGCATCACAATTAACGCTTGAAAATATCCGAAATAATAACATTTAATTTTCGGAAATTAATTATTTAATAATAAAATATTAATATTTAATTCGAAATTAATTTATTAACTAATAAAATAATATTTAAATTTCGAAAATAATTGATTTAACATAATAATCAATAACAATAAAATAACTGATAACTTATCACCACAATCGCGATAACCTATCGCACAACCACGGATAACCTATCACTTAAACCCAATAAAACAAACAAAATACTAATCTAAACATAAATTAAACTACCCTAAGCAAGTTTAACACCCTAAACACGGGATTAGGGGTTAACTTACTCGGCTAACGCCGGCGACGACGCCAGTACGACGGCGGCAACAAGGGCGGTCCACGGTGGCTTCCGGTTCGGTTTCGGCCCAGGCTACGGACAGACGGCGAACGAGCGCGGGGCGAGGGAGACACCCATATGGGGGCTCTTCCGGCGTGGCTTGGCTGTTCCCGACGACTGGACAAAGAACCGGCGACGGCAGTCGAGGTGGACGGCGACGCACGGCGAAGCTCAGTCTGGCGGCGGTGGCGGGCGACGGAGGCGAGCGAAGCTTGACCGCGGCGGCTGGACAAGGCGGACACGGCTCGGTCGGGGCGATGGACGGACGACGACGGCTGGGGGGGAAGGCGCAGCGACGCTGGTTCCAGCGAGGACAAGCCGGCGGTGGTTAGTCCGGCGAGGGGCTAGCCGGCGAGGAGCAGCGAAGCAGGAACCAGCAGCTAGAAGCAACCGCGACGACGGACTGTGGCGCGGCGGTTGGCGGAGCGGCAGCACCAGACGAGCGGCCGGCGGTGAGGCTGGCGTCGGCGCGTGGCTGGGCTGAGGCTGGTCGGGCAGAACAGGAGCAGGAGCAAGAAGCCAGAAGATGCGGCGTCGGGGGTAAGCCAACGCAGGAGAAGAAGAAAGAAGGAGAAGAAGAGAAAAAGGAAAAAGAAAAAAAAAGAAGAAAAAGGAAGAGAGAGAGAGAGAGAGAGAGAGAGAGAGAGAGAGATAGGTCGGTGGGGGTTGGTGGTGGTCAGACGTAGGGGTCAGCGGGAAAGGGGGAAAGGATAGAGAGAGAGAGAAGCACAGGTCAAATCGCAATAATCGCGATCCAACGGTCACGGTTTAAACCCGAAAAACGATCCGACGGTCCCCGAAAAATCCTAATTAATATTTTTAGGATTTGGCCAAAAGGGTGTTAATAAAAACACACTGTGAGGGTGATCTACCAGTCCAAATTCGCACCCGGTCAAAAATTCACTTTTCACGTATCCCAGGTAATATCGAGATTGGCCACACTAATATCGACACCGCCCAATTAAATTCGTTCCGGAATTCCGAGAAATTCGACGCCAAAGTTTGGGCTCTAAATAACGGCCAAATTCGATCGAATGCGATTCTAGCGAAATCTCAATTTTTAAAAACAATAACCGGGAGTGATCAGTTCCCGGGCGAGATTTTACTATAAGCACACTGACGAATTACACGTTTTATAAATCCCAAAAATGGGTCGAAATTCGGAATGTCACAATTCTGTTCCAGAAATTAATTTTTGGCCAGAAATAGATTTTTCCATTTATATTCCATGGATTAGTTTTCAAGTGAAAATACGCGTTTGATAACGACACAAAATTTTTGTCGTTGAAATAGAAATTTGTTTGATAACGGCAGAAAATTTCTCCCTCCCAAGCGACTAGCGGGCGAGCGGCGGAGGACGGCGGGAGGCGGCGAAAGGCAGGCATGCGGTGGTAGGAGGCGGCCGACGGCGGGAGGTGGTTGGTGTCGGGTGGTGGCAAACGGCAGAGGATCGCAGCCGGCGGTGGGTGACGGCTGGTGGCGGGAGATGGCCGGCGTCGAGTGGCAGCAAACGGCGAAAGACAGCGGCGAGAGGTGGCTGGTTTCGGGTGGTGGCAAACGGCTGAGGACGACGGCCGGCGGTGGGAGGCGGCCGGTGACGAGTGGTAGCCCGCGTCGGGTGGTGGCAGACGGCGGAGGACGGCAACCAGCGGTGGGAGGTGGCCGGTGACAGGAGATGGCTGGCGTCGAGTGGTGGTAGACGGTGGAGGACAGCGATGGGAGGTGACCGATGGCGGGAGGTGGCCGGCGTCGGGTGACCGCAAACGGCGAAGGATGGCGGCCGGCGGCGGGAGATGGCTAGTGTCGGGTAGTGGCTGACGGTGGCCGGAGGTTGGAGGCAGCTGGTGGCAGGGGGTGGATGGCGTCAGGTGGCCGAAAACAGCGAAGGATGGCAGTCGGGAGCGGGAGGTGGCCGGCGTTGGATGGTGGCAAACGACGGAGGACGGCAGCCGGCGGTGGGAGGCGGCCGCTGGCCAGAGGTGGCTGGTGGCGGGAGGTGGCCGGCCTTGGGTGGCAGCAAACGGCGAAGGACGACAGCCAGTGGCGGCGGGAGGCGGCTAGCGGCCGGCATTTGACAGCGACGAAGGATGGTAGACGGTGGTCGGTAGAGGACAGCCAGAGGCAGCAAATGGCGGCGGATGACGATAGACAGCGGTGGACGGCGGCGAGAGGCAGCTAGCGGCAAAGGACAGTGACGGACCACGGTGGTGGGAGGCGGCCGAAGGGCGGCAGGTGAGCGACCGGTTAGTATCGAGAGCTAGCGATGAAAAGAATTTTTATTTATCATTTATAGTCCAAAAATAGAAAAGTAAGAAAATTTTACTTTTGATTTCTGTTCCAAACTTATTTCTCGAGTAGAAATTTGTTCCAAAAATAGAAAAATGAAATTGCGTTACCAAACGGATTTTTGTTCCAAATCTGTTCCCGATAACGGAAAAATAGAAAATTAAATAAACAAAATGGTTATCATTTGCGCCCTTAGTATTAGGACTTTGATTCCAAGCTTGATAACTAATTAAGGATATTTCTAGAGAAAAAAATTTCGAACAATTCATATAAATTATAGTTCATACCACGAAAAATTCTAAATCGGTATACGTATGACAAATTTATCTCAAACTAATTTTTTCACCACGAAAAACCCCAAACTGATACACCTGTGATAAATTTACCTCAAACTAATTTTTTGACCACTAAAAACCCCAAACTGATACATTTCTGACAAATTTACCCTCCGTTAAATTGGATCAATACCACGAAAAATCACAAACTGTTATACCTGTGACAAACGAAGGGTAAAACCCCAAACTGGTACACCCGTAAACTGCCATATGTCATCCAACTCAGAAATTTGACGGTAAATTTAACGAAAACTAACGGAGGGTAAATTTGTCACGAGTATACCGGTTTGACATTTTTTGTGGTCAAAAAGTTAGTTTTATGTAAATTTGTCATGGGTGTACCAGTTTAAGGTTTTTCGTGATATTAACCAATTATAATATAATATGGGGAACATTATACAAGAAAGTTATCTATGGAGATCGAATGCATTGAGCAATAAATTTCTTACTAATAGCTCCTAGCCCTTTATCGATCTCAAAAATAGGCGAAAAGGAAATTAAGAACAAGACAAAATAGAAAATAATTCTTTTAACATTCTAAAAAAAATTAAATCAAACTAAGAAAAGAAGAAGAAGAAAACTACTGGAAATTTTTGTAATTGCTTTAATGTAGGAATTATTCGTAGAAATTAAATAAGGAATCACCATCGGAATTGAAAACTTTGACTATGCCATTTATATCTACAGTATTTTAATAACACCATTCGATTGATTTAAATAACTAGTTAACAGTTACAAGTATATAGACTTTGTATGTACTATACAGAAACCTTACTTGGAACTAGAAGAAAACTTTATAATCTTTTTTATAAAAAAATGATTGAGAGATGGTTGGATGCAATAGGTTTATATGTGTCACTAAATTAATAATAGTTTCAGAAAATATAAAAATTTTGATGAAGTGGTGTGTGACACTAGTATCCATATTTAAGGCAAGAACGTATTTTAGATGAATTAAACTATTATATGTACATAGTGACACAACATAAATCACTGCATAAATTCTCTTGTGCACCACTTGCGGTGATGATAGCTGCGTGATTATGTATGAAGTGCTGATCGATTTATTTATGCTTTGACACCACCTATTGTTTGCTTTTTAAGGCATCATCGTATACCAGATGGTTCGATATCGTCACTCTCATCACAGGAGACTTTTAATTGTTGGGGTATGATTTATACTTCCTATTGATAAGAAGGCACGGTGGTCCAGAGGCCACCCCGGTGGGGTTGCAAGGGGTAGCACCCCGGCCACCAGAAGGCTTTTATAGTTTGGGCCCGTATTTTATTGGTAGTTTGGGCTTGAGCCCATGAATAACCGCTGTCTATCTATAATCTCTTTCTTTTATAATTAAGAGTAGTGACAGAGAGGTCGGATATGCTAATTATAGTGAAATCCTCTACTGAATGTAGCGCCCTCATTTAGAAGTGAACCAAAATAAAATATTTGGTCTCGATTTCTCTTTCTCACATCTATTCTCTATTTCCTTGTGTGCCTAATCATAACACTAATGACCAACCAGAGCTTATCCGCGATTGCAGTACATTTTATCGTAATTCCTATGCGTGCTATAGCATGCAAAATCCTATAAAAGGATACGACTGATGGGCGCACTTCATTCTTGTTTGATCCAATTGCCACCAGCCTCCCGAAGAACGGTTACTCGTGGGATTGAAGAAGCTCTCCTCGCCGCGTATCTTGATTCGGGGGTCGTGCCCTTTCGTAGAATTATGGTAAGATGGATAGGACTCTGCTCTATTCTTTGTTTGTTTAGGCATTTATACTCTTCAAGGAGAAGCAAAGTTCGTGCGCATAAAAGTAATGCTGAGTGTTCCTCTTGCAGTTCCTCGTGGCAGGGCAAGTTTCTTCCCTTGAATCTTCTTTCAATTTGCAGGAGCATCTTTCTTGTCGTTTGAGTGATCATCTTACCTTCGATATCTGTTTTATTGTTAAAAGCTGTCAAACTTAAAGATCATCAGTTTGCCATTGTTGACTCGTAGGAACTGAATGCCGTGAGGGTTGCATGGTAGTGTGACTTATGTCCACGAGAAGAACAATGAGAATGTCGTCCAAGCAGTAAATACTATTATAAAGCAGTTTCCGCTTTCGCTACATATTAATCTTGGCAACTGAAAATTCAACAGAAAAGAAAGAAACCCACACCTTATGATCCCCTCTGCCTGATTGAGCTGCGATGTAAGTCGCGATTCGCTCAAAAACGGGTTCAAACACAAAAGAAATCATTTAACAGTCTTGTCCCTAACTAAAAACAGCAAAGTGAAGATTCACCTCCTCTCTTTTCTCCAAAGAATTCTAGATATTTCTTGGGGGAGTGAGTCACTAGAATGATGTAAAGGGAGGGAACCACCAATCTCTAAAATAAAAGAGAAGAAGTGGACCCAACTCCACCCACCTTTCTAGAAAACAGCACTGTAACTTGACCTTATTCAGAACGAGTTTAAGCCTAATAAAGTAGCCAGAGGAGTGAGACTCAACAAGAACGCAAAAAGAAACAAAACTGCAAATAACAGAAACTACACTTATGATGCTTCCATGAATTTAACTCAAGATTAACTTACATTAATCTGACTGAATCCAGCTGGAGTTGTACAAGGAAGCAGTGAAGAAGTGCTTCAGATTCCCCAAGCCCACTGCTAAGTGTGCGGGGATGTATTTTTTTTTTTTTTGGCTAAATGCGGGGATGTATTTGTTTGGCCTAAGGAATGATTTGTCGCCCGACCAAAAGGAGATGTATTCTGTCCAAAGAGAGACGCGGCCTGTCCAAAGTAGAAGTGCTCTGTCCGCAAGCGCAGCCACTCTGCCAAAGGACGGCGTAGTAGACGAAAATAATGGGGAGGACTGAGAGGTTAAACCGGAGCCAAACGGAGTGCACGCCATAGTTGCAGAACTGAAATTCGATAGCCATGAACCGAATGCAGAGGGGCCAGATGTAGAAAAAATGCATGAAGATGAATTGGCACCAAATGCAAGAGTTTGAGTTGATCCAAACAAGTGATGTGTAGTTGACGCTGTTGAAGAACCGAAGGGTGAAATGCTAGGTGGAGGCGAGGATCCAAACCCTGCACTGCCAAAGGGTGTAGAAGCAAATGGATTGAAGGCTCTGGTGGAAGCAAACGGAGATGATTGACCAAAGGCTGGTGAAGGAGTTGAAAGAGGAGCACCGAAGCCAATAGCGCCAGCAGACTGACCAGCAGGATTTGGACCACCTGAGAATTATGCCAAGTAAGCATACGGTCAATGCAGCTAAAGCCAAAACTTATATAGAACATATTAAGGCCTGCACCTTTATCTCCCTATTGATAATCCTCCCATCTAAGCTCCTCATGGCTCTTATCCTTATATGCAGGCATTGCCAATAGTGACTCTAACTTATTAGCTGGCTCAATTCCACTGCCACTATCTGCCTCAGTTGTTGGTGTGTATGGAACCACTCTACTTCCCCCACGTTGACCTCCAAAAGGTGACTGTCCAAAACCACTACTTCCAGAAGTTGGTGTTGTGGCCAGGGCTCTTGCATGACAGATAATGTGAAAAGACCAAATTTTCCAATGAGGTGTTGTAGCCTGAGCTCCTGCATGACAAATATTGCAAAAAGACCAAATTTTCGAATGAGCCAGTACAGTGCAATGGCTATAATAGCAAACCACGAGATAAAATCTAATAGATTGCAGGTTGGATATTCCAAGTGGAAAAGGGGAAGACAACAGTAGTCCAAAACATTCCTGAAGCAAAATGAATTCATTTTACAAGACCCACCAATTTGGTTCTCAAAAGGGAATGATGTAGGTCCAAATGGACTGTCACCAAATGTAGAGATTGATTGGCCAAATACAGGAGATGAGCCAAAACTGAAGGATGGACAACTGGAAGCCCCAAAAGCAGGCACACTTGAGGCTCCAAAAGCTGGAGTACTGGAACTGAAGGATGGAATACTAGAAGCCCCAAAAGCAGGTATGGCTGAGGCACCAAAAGCTGGAGTAAATGAAGCACCAAATGGATTGGAGGTTATAGTGGAAGCAAAAGGATATGATTGACCAAATGCTGGTGAAGGAGCGGAAGGTGGTGCACCGAAGCCAACAAAGACTGCAGACCGACCAGCAGAATCGGTCCCCTGCGAATTATGCCAGGTAAGCATACAGTCAATGCAGCTAAAGCCAAAACTTAGATGGAAGGAACAATCTGAGGGCCACACCTTTATCTCCCGATCGATAATCCTCCCATCTAAGCTCGTCATGGCTCTTATCCTCATACACAGGCATTGCCAATAGTGACTCTAGCTTACCAGCTTGTTGAGCCCCCCTGCCACTATCTGCCTCAGTTGTCGGTGTGTATGGTGCCACTCTACTTCCCCCACCTTGACCTCCAAAAGGTGATTGCCCAAAACCACTACATCCAAAAGTTGGCGTCGGGGCTCCTGCATGACAAATAATGAGAAAATATCAAATTTTTTGATGAGCTAGTACACTGCAATGGCTAAAATAGTAAACCGTGACATAAAATTTAATCGATCACTTTTTTTTTTGCAGGTTTGATATTCCGAGTGGAAAAGGGGAAGACAATAGTAGTCCAAAACATTCCTCAAGTAAAATGAATTCATTTTACAAGACCTACCAATTTCGAATCGAAAAGGGGATGATGCAGGTCTAAACGGACTGCCACCAAATGCACTGGTTGATTGGCCAAAAGCAGGAGAAGAGCCAAAACCAAAGGATGGACTACTAGAAGCCCCAAAAGTAGGCTTACTTGAGGCACCAAAATCTGTTGCACTTGAAGTGAAGGATGGACTACTAGAAGTCCCAAAAGTAGGCTTACTTGAGGCACCACAAGCTGGAGTACATGAAGCAGCAAAAACTGGAGTACTGAAACTTAAGGATGGACTACTCAAAGCACCAAAAGGTGGAGTACTCGAAGCACCGAAAGCTGGAGTGCTTGAACTGAAGGATGGAGTATTAGAAGCCCCAAAATCAGGCATACTTGAGGCACCAAAAGCTGAAGTACTTGAACTGAAGGATGGACTCCTAGAAGTCCCAAAAGCAGGCATACTTGAGGCACCAAAAGCTGGAGTACATGAAGCACCAAAAGCTAGAGTACTAGAGCTGAAAGATGGAGTATTAGACGTCCCAGAAGCAGGCATACTTGAGGCACCAAAGACTGGAGTACTTGAAGTATCACAAGCTGGAGTACTTAAACTGAAGGCTGGACTGCCAGAAGCCCCAAAAGCAGGCATACTTGAGGCACCAAAAGCTAGAGTACTTGAAGCACTGAAAACTGGAGTACTTGAACTGAAGGATGGACTACTAGAAGCCCCAAAAGCAGGCATAGTTGAGGCATCAAAAGCTGGAGTAATGGAACTAAATGATGGACTACTAGAAGCCCCAAAAGCAGGCATACTTGGGGCACCAAAAGCTGGAGTACTCGGAGCACTAAAAACTGGAGTATTGGAATTGAAGGATTGACTACTAGAAGCACCAAAAACTGGAGTACTGGAAGCACCGAAGGCTGGGGCACTTGAAGTACCAAAAGCTGGGTTAGTTGATGCACCAAAAGCAGGGGTACTTGAAGCACCAAATAAAGGAGTACTGGATGTGCCAAACGCAAGGGTACTTGAAGATCCAAAAAGTGGTGAACTGGAAGTCCCAAATGCTCTTCCGGTGCCGAATATTAGGGCAGTTGATGAGCCAAATGCAGTTCCCCTGCTACCAAATGGAGGAGTGGCAGTTGAATCAAAGGCATGAGTGCTTGTAGCGCCAAAGGCAGGAGTGCTTACTTGTCCAAAGGCAGGAGCAGTAGCTCCAAATAGAGGGGTACTGGTAGAATCAAAGGCAGGAGTGCTAGTACAACCAAATGCTGACTGACTTGATGCACCAAAGGTTGGGGAGGAAACAAAAACACTGCTCCCAAATGCTGGCTGTGTTGGCTGACTTGTGCTTCCAAAAGGACTTGTTTGAGTGGTCGAACCAATCCCACCAAAAACAGGCTTTTGTCCAAAAAGAGAAGATCCTGTTAAAAAAGAAGACTATTAGTGAAGAAAAACTCTCAGCTTGTAAACCAGAAAAATGGATAAACAATTGCAATTGTACATTGAAAAGAATAAACATCCAAATTTGACTACTATTTCAGCGAGGAATATAACTCTTAAAGTAAATAGCCAGGTGACTGACTATTGGAGCAGAGTTACGGAAAGCAAATTGTCACTAAAATGCATACTTACACCAAAGAAAGGTAAAAGGATTATCTTATCAGTGGGGAGGTTGCATTGATCGAATGAAGCAACTAAAGTACTATATCAACGCCTTTTAAGATAACTAGCATCAGCCAATATTAGGCAAGGTGTCATGTGAAGCAGGCGGTTGCAGTCAAATTTATTTTGGTAAAGCTCAAGGCTTGCTACGGTTAGTTGCTAATCAACTCTAGAGCTGAATTATATATCTTGACACAACACAATCGGAGTTAACCAAACAACTATCTCTTGACATTCTAATCTACACAAGTGTTCAGTAACCACTGTGGATAAAAGGAAAACAAAGCCATCAACCAATAATTTGCAACGGTCCAATTCTGACAACTTAACATTCTTTCAAGTCAAATCTTCTCAAAAATAAAAAATAAAAACCTTATGCTCCAATAAAAACTCAACAAGAGTTTCTTCGCCTTGAACCCATTTAGGAATAACACTATTCCACACTTTGCAAGCTTGAAGCCCTCGTTTGTACTGAATAAATTATCTTCATTATGAGTGTTTTCCAACTTTCACAACAGCATTAGCTAACATGGAGTTTGTACATGCCAGAATTCTTTTACCGGCTGTGCTTTAACTATATCTTTTCCTCGACTTTAGATCAAATGTTCTCATGATATAAAAAAGCCTATGACACAATGAACTTGGCAAAAGGAAACTTAGAAGCATATCATACAATGAACATAGAAAAGGAAATTATATGTTGTACTTAGTTAGAATGACACAAATGGAAACTGTTCGACTTGCGTCCAAAGACCACAACCTATAAATCTGATCACATTCGGTGGATTTAGCTATACTTTTGCACCCATCATAACTTGAATTCAAGAGTTTCGACCATCACATCACTAAATGTTTAGCCACATTTTTAGGGGAATCGTCAAAGCAAATCACATGCCCAAATCATCCTAGACAAGTTCTCATCTTGATTGCGCTCATTTCATGCATAGGTACATAAAACAAAAGAAACATGCCTGCCCTCCTTCTGACTTTCCTTGAGCTTATGTGTCATTTTGCGTTCCTTGACCATAATTCAAGTTGCTTGCCTTTTGGCTTCTGCTGTGCTGGAATTGCAATTTAATTACCATCATTCTCGCCTCTCAATTTGCCAAGCAGAGAAAACTAAGTTATAGAACAAAGTTCAACATACTCGTCAATTTGTCCCATGATCTGTCTGAAAACTAGGCCATCAAAATCCAATTCCAAATATTCTTCCCATATCAAAGAAACAATGAGCGCCGTATCAAATGCCTATCTATATGCTCACTTTCAGACGTTCCTCATGATCAGGAGGGTAACAACTGGTCACTTACCACCAAAACCTGAGGAAGAGCTTCCAGAAGCGGGTGTTGAAGTTCCAAAAGATGGTGAAGATGAAGCACCGAAGGCAGGCATAGTGGAAAAAGGCGAAGAGGGTTGAGTAGCAGAAAAAACACCAGTTGAAGTTCCACCGAACATGGACCTCCCCGTTAGAGTTCCAAAGACTGATTGGGACTCAAATGGACTGCTAGATGATTGCCCAAAAAGCTGTAGAAAGCGTTCAAGATTGACATACCAAAGAAGGTGACACCGAAAGACATTATAAAGCAAGACAAGCATACATACTTAACGAGAAAGAAATTCAAGTTCCAACTTTTAATTTTACCGACAACACATCAAGAAAGTAACATGTTTCGAGATTTTTTATTTTTCAATTTACCTTAAAGACATCTCTAATCTGAAACTTTCCAGCTTCCTCAGAAATTGAAAGGCCGTGGTCCAAAGAACTTTTAAGATGCCGAATCATTATCGTACGCGTACTATATCGATCATGTCTCTGAGGACTGGTGATTCAACATCTCACTATCTTCCACTAAAAAGATGTATCTTTCTTTTAATTTTCTCTTCAGTGTCATGTCATGCAGATTGATTCCCCTTATACATTTGATCGTATTTCTTTCTTGTTTTTTTCATGTGAAGAACTCTAAGACTGCGAATGATAATCATTATATTTTTATTTTTCTGTTCCAGAAACAAGTTTGGAATAGAAATTCATTTGATAACGCAATTTCATTTTTTAATTTTTGAAACAAATTTTGATTTCAAAAATAGGTTTGGAACATAAAAGAATAGTAAAAAATTTCTACTTTTCTATTTCTAGAACAAAAATGAGAAATAAAAATTCTTCTCATCGCTCGCCCTCGCTACTAGCCGGTCGCCCACCCACCGACCGCCCATCGCCGCCCACTTGCCGGCCGACGCCGTTCGCCGTCTCCCGCCGCCGGCCACCATCTCCCATCGCCGGCCGCCTTCCTCCTACCGCTGTCGCTCGCCACCGCCCACTGTGGGCTGCCACCCGCCGGCCACCGCCTCCTGCTGTCCGTCTCCCACCGCTGCCCTCCTCTCACCACCGGCGGTCGCCCGCCTCTTGCCGTTGCCCGACACCAACTGCCTCAAGCTACCGTCCTCCGCACTCGCCACGTCGCCGTCCGCCGCTGCCTCCCCCATTGTCCGTCGCTCATCGTTTGCTACCACCGTCCGCCCTCCTTCCGTCGCCACCCTCCTTCCGTCGCCGCCCCCCTCCCGCCACCGGCCATCGCCCGCCTCCCGCCACTACTCGACGCCGGCCGCCTCCAACCATCGACCTCCGCACTGGTCGCGTCGCCGTCTACCGCCTGCCGCCGCTTCCCCTCGCCGTCCGTCGCCCGCCGTTTGCTGCCACTGTCCACCGTCCACTTGCCGACCACCCAAGAGAGAGAAATTTTGTGCCGTTATCAAATAAATTTTTGTTTCGGGAAGAAAAATTTTGTGTCATTATCAAACGTGTTTTTTTGCTCAGAAACTCGTCCAGGAACAGAAATAGAAATTTCTGGCCAGAAATTGATTTTTGAAACAGAATAATTGACATTCGCAGCCTAAGTATTCATGCAACTAATTAGTTCTTTATTAATGCTTTGAATTTATTATTATCATTCTCATATTTCAAATTACCTTTCTATTGTGCTAGTCCACCGTTCATGTGGCGAGAAACTGGCTCGACAGTCACAAAAACTTGGAGAGTGTGTAAGCCGCGAAAACGGCACCTCAAGATTCATAATCAGAAAACTAGAACATGGTAATTGAGAAAAAGGATTTGCATACCTAATTTAGAATTTATCGTTCTTAATGCGGAATAGCCACAATTGTGAGCTCAAGTACTTCTCTTCTATTACGTCCGTATCACTTGCTTAATGAAACTGCTCCTCGAATTAGGTTCTTGTGAGATTATTTTAAAGGAGAGACTTTAAGTACTATTTATAGAGTTTTAGCTACAAACCCTCTCATGACAGGTGGGGTTCTACTCGACCCACATCAGTCAACCCTATATTATACTAATTAAGAATTTTTATATCTTACTTTATCAGACCAACCCGGTAAAACGGTAAATTTCAATCTTAATTAATACAGTCCATATCAGAAAAACTCTTACAGAGCGATTTCACAATAATAGACGCATGATGGGAATGGGGTCGTATGTTCTAATGGACGACTTTGCACAAATGTTAGAGCAATGGCTTTCATCTAGGTACAAACTGAAGAAGAAAGATCTTAAGCAATAACCTTTTTATTTCTCGTGCACCTATTTTCTTCGCCTATTTTTCCAATCTTCAAGATTTAATAATTTGATACTTGTCAACCGAATGGGTATGCGACCAGAGGGCCTCATCCACTGTGTAGGGTACAACATATCATGGTAAGTTTATGAAGGGGACTATAGTCACGCTAAACCAAGTCGTTCTATTTATTTGTCTGGGACTACAAAAGTATTTGAATTTGTTTAATGTTATTCAATAAGCTTATATTGTTTTGCTAGTAAACAAAATTGGCATAACTTATACTTTTTGGCATTAGATTTCTCATCTGGGCGGAGAGATGATGCTTTTGCTTAAGCTTGCCTGATATAATTAGGTTTTGCTTAAGCTTGCCTGCTGATACATTTTCAGGTTCTTCAATTTTTCCTAGTAATTAATTTACTACGTTGATTATTATGCGTTATCTTTATTCCTTATGCACCATGCATGATGATTTTCACATGTTAGTGGTTTGGGATAATAAAATTGCCCAAGATTGCATACAAAATGTTTTAGTAAAAAGAAAATGTGCTGAAAGGGCGTTAATCTAGTGTAATCATATCTCCATATTCTGAATGTCTAGTTCGCAGAAATAAGATGGTCTCCCACATCTTGCTTGGGTTTCTAACCGGCCCGTAACCGGTTAGTGGCGATAACTTACTTATAATAATTGATTGAACTAAGAAACTAAGTTGCAATTGAGAGTAGGGGTGATCGGTTCCAGGATGAGTCAGTTCTAGACCTGGAACCTGAAACCGACCCTGTTATAACTGGTTCCTAGTTTTTGGAGCCTGAAACTTACCATGTTTGCCCTGGACCCTGTTTTGGAACATATCCTGCTTTTTCGGTCCGATTACAAGGTCTACCCGAGAACCCTTTTTGTTTGTTCCTTTTCTTGGTTTTATTTTTTCGGGGTAGAAAATAGGAAAACTTATAACTCAAATCAAAGGTTATAAGTTTGACTATGCAAATAATCTTAAGTATTCATACAAAAGCATATTATCTTAGTCCTAATAATTTAATGGACGTGATAAAATAGCAGGGGTTCCAGTTCAATATGTAGTTTCTTCATTACAGAACAAAAATTTCAAGAAAAAGGAAATTGCTCCCTATAATGCTTACAAGCCTTTAAGTTAGACTATCTGTAAATAATGATCACCTCCCTCATCCTTTATGATAGAATGTTTTGAATTTTGGCCGTATAAAATTACAAATGGAACTCCATATAAAATTTATTCTAAAACCGGTCAGGATGGGTTTTCACTTGAAACCGAAAACCGGACCGGTTCTAACCGGTTCCCAACAAATGGAACTGGTTCCTGGACCTCTTTTTCGAGTGGGCCGGTCTGGTTTCCAGGTAAACCCGGTCCAGTTGCACACCCCTAATTGAGAGTGTCTAAGCGTAGGTGCCACCTTGAAAGAGAGACCAATTGGCACCCGCTTCAGCTTTCCCTCACTGATTCACCTTGGGAGGATCAGGACATGCACTGCTTTCTTGATATCAAGATCGACCAAAACGAAAGAGTCTTCATCTCTCAGAAGAACCTCCTAAAGAAATTCAAAATAAACTATTGCGAAACGGTTGCAAAACCACTCGTGACAAATGAGAACTACTAAAAGAAGACGGGGCAGAAAAAGTTGACGCTTCCCTTTATAGAATCCTTATTGGCAATCTATTTATCTCAATGCTACAAGGCCAAATATCATGTACACAAATAGTATACTATCATGGTACATGCTAAATCCAAGCCAAATTCATTTTGGAGTTGCCAAAAAGATTCTCAAATATTTACGAGGAACAATAGACTATGGCATTCAGTATCGGCCAAGTGCAAGCGCCAAGCTCCTTGGTTACACAGATAGCGATTGGGCGGGCTTAGATGACAATAGAAGGAGTACTACTGACTATGCACTCGCACTGGGTTTTGGAACATTTAAATGAGCATCCAAAAAAACAAGTCTCATGGCGCAACCCTCTTGAAGCGGGGACACGTTCTGGTATGTGTTATCTCGAGGTGAGTGGACGGATTAGCAAATAAGTATGGACGGTTCCTCTTATGAGACGACGCTAGCATTTAGTTTGGATTATCTCAAACCATAGTGATTGCGACTTTGACTAACTCAGTCAATTATGAAAAAATTTCTTCTTTTAGGAGTGGTTGCTAACCTATTGGAGGCCGATTAGAGGCCAAGCAAAATGTGGGCTCGCCTCGCTTTGTACCCTTGCTTGCTCGCCTAGATCGCCGGCCTCCCTTGCTCGCCTCGCCTGGTTGTTCTCTTCGCTCACCTACTTTGTTCCCTTCGCTCACCTCGCATCTCTCTCCGCAAGTTTCTCTCTCTCTCTCGCTCTCTCTCTCTCTCTCTCTCTCTCTCTCTCTCTCTCTCTCTCTCTCTCTCTCTCTCTCTCTCTCTCTCTCTCTCTCTCTCTCTCTCTCTCTCTCTCTCTCTCTCTCTCTCTCCCCGGTGGATCTGCTTTCGCTTTGCTCTGGTCTCTCATTCTTGTTTCTTTGATTTCCTACTTTGGTTTGTTAAGAAATGTTGCCAATTAGTTGAAAACCGTTGTAGGGATTAGTAATAGTTCAGCAATAGTTGGGGAAATCATTGTTGGGTCAGCAATAGTTTTGAGATATCAATCAGTTAGCTGAAAATAAGGGGGAGCCAAATCATAAGAAGCAAAATCTTTAGGGCCATTGTTGAACCAATTGGAACTCAAAGCCGTAAACGAGTGACAAATACTTCAATGAGGCAAGCTCGAGGAGAGAAAGAAAAGAGATTAATCACAGCACAAAAGCTTGGAACGCAAATTAATAGGCTTTATTTAGCTGTTGAACTAAGGAGCGTTGCTGCCGCTACTGTGTTTTCTTAATCAAAAGGGGTCCATGTGCATTATTTATCAAAAGAACTATGTTTTCTTACAATTCTTTTGAGTGTTCAAGATTATTGGGTTGACTATCAGTAGTTGATTACTCAATAGACATTTATGCAGCTCACAGTAAAAGAATTCAAATCTATTTTTGTCGTGATATGCAGTCGCGTGTGCGGGAATCCTCATGGTTTGATCAGGAAGTATGGACTCATGCTACAGAGTGTTTCCGCGGCAATGCCATGGAGATTGGCTTCATCAAGGTAAACTTCAACTTTATTAACAAGTGCAATTTAACCTCTAATTAACCATGTACACTTTTTATGTAAGTACTTAATTTTCAATCATGTTTCATTTTGGAATACAGCTGAAGAGCTAATGTGACACCCTAAAATGTCACACACAACACGCGTTCTTTCCATTATTTATTATCTGAACAAAATACATAGTGTTGACCACCTAACATCACTACACCTATACTAACCAAACCACCATCTAATCTAAGGGTTGATGGCCTCCAGCATCATATCATCCCCTCCATCAACATGTCCAGAGACCATCCTACAAATCTGAAAAATAAGGAGTGAGCTAAACCCCAGTAAATGAAATCTCTAAGTCCAAGGTAGAAGATCATCTTACCACTCAACCTGATACTAACAAACAACACAAGACAATCATGAATGACGAGTGTGGGAGAAAATGCATTATCCTTCTTATCATGATATGCCGATGTAAACCGATAACAACATTGCACGAGATTATTTACTCAAACGCAAGGAGATGGTATAACATATTATGATGCACGACTGCCACCAACTATACACATGTGAATATATGCATTTTTACATTCACATAGGCATGCATCATATTCGTTATTAGCATATTATTCCATCTCGAAACACTCCCCGGGGCATTCCAAAACACTCCCCAGGGCATCCCGACACACGGGCCATCTCCAACTCCAAGACATCCTGACACACGGGGCATCCCAACTCCGAGGCACCGATACCACCAATATGTGGGCAATGTAATTTACTTTTCATAATACCTTCCATGTTTAATCACATAGTAACAGTGCACACGATAATATAATTACCCTTGCACCAACCATGAAATCAACACTCATTTCAAGAATCAACATTCGGTACACGCATCTTTTCTTGTAAATCATTTCCATCATGCAATTACCTTGTCTTCTCATCGATCTCATAATGACATGCTTGCCTCCTTTCGTATCTCATGCAATCAATAATAACATACTTAGAGAATTGGCAACTCAAATAATCGACAACGTGAACATCGACAACTTAAATAATCGACAACGTAAACATCGACAACTCAAAGAATCGATCACGTGATTAATTGACAGCACTTTGCTAGTAAACCGGTGAGATGATTAGTAATCCAGCACGGAACAGATAAGGGGTCCACTTGATAGCAAATGTTAGGATTAGGCGCACAAACACAACTAAATAGAAAGTAAAGGCGAGAAAGAGAAATCGAGATACAAGGTTTTATCCTGGTTCACCCTAAAATTAGGACTACATCCAATAGAGAATTCTACTATAATTAGCATCACCTTATCTCTGTTACAATTCTCAATGACAAGAAAATAAGATTATACATAGACAATAGCTATTCATGAGTCCACACCCAAACTACCAACAAAAAACGGGCTCAAACTATAAAAGCTCTCTAGTAGCTCGGAAGCGCTGCCCCCTGCGAACCCCGCTCACTCACCGGGGAGCGAAACTCTCATGCCTTCCTATCGATAAGGAGTATGAATCACATCTCAACACAGCCGATGCACCACGATATATATTAGTTCCTGGAAACCAAAAATTCAACATAAAAAAAAGAGAAACCTTAGACAACTTACGATCCCCTATCGCCTGATCGAGCTGCGATCTTAGTCGCGACTCACTCAGAAAAAGCTCAAACTTGAGAAATTACAGTCTTCTCCCTAACTGAAAAAATATGGCAGCTCTGACCAAAATATGTGAAGAAGAAGATTCAATGGGACCCTCCTGCCATTCAGGGAAAGTCTGCACATGGGTGCAAAAGTTGGGAGGTATTAGTAATGGATGGTGATGAATTGTCCCACACCCTAAATGTTTCAATTAACATACGGTGGAATCAAGGACTCGAGCCAGAAAGTTCAGGACAGGGACAGACGACAAATTCTTGTCGACTGCTAAGTACATCTTGCACCGTGATGCTGTTGTGTTGTTCATGGTCACTGTCTTTGGTCCTGAAAATCCGGAAATAAAAAAAGGATATATTTACACATATATAACTGTCAGCTTGCTTGTGCTTCCTCAATTACGTACTGTAATTGCATATTTCGCTCAGCTGAAACTTTTAGAGCTACAGAAAGATTTGGGAATAATCTGCGTCACTGATATATTATTATGTTCGTGGCTCGGAAATTCTATCCTTCCTTTCCAGCTGAAGATCCTAAAACAGGTAGCATAATGGCCATTTAGCCTGTTAAATGCGTTATTGATTTTTGTTTATCCATACGAAGTAAACTTGGGTGCTGAAACTGAGAATCGATTATTGGGAATACTAGAAAAGGCTCTCACCTTGCTTTTCCACCTGCTCATTATCGCAGATCTTTTTATTCTTTCAATTTAAACAAGACTTGACACATTGTTCTTGCTCTCCGCGTTGTCGGACGGAGGATGTCAGTTAATTTATTCAAATGAGGAAGTATTAGATGCCTTGTTAGTGCCATGGCTGAGAGAGGCCGACTGAATGAATGAATGATCAGTCATCTTTACATCCCTACTTAAAGGGGACAAAAAAAGGAAGATGCCTACTGTAGGTTTTTTATATGGGAAAATTCCGAGCCATAGAGAACCGACCCACGTGATCGAAGTTGCTCGATAGAGCACATAACAAGATATTAAACGGGGAACTCGTGTCGAAAATATGAATTGGGCATCCGGGAATGAGATTGTACGTGCGATTCTCGACTGTTTGTTGCATGAGCCTGGGAAAAAGAATCTACAAAATAATCTCACTTTGTTGGAAAGGATGAGTCAAAAGAAAGCACGGCAAAAAAGAATGGAAAGGAAAGAGTATAACCTAATAAACTAATGCAAATATCGGTGGCTTAGAGCACTGATTTGATTTGAAGAATTTGCACTTGCTTTGCGTACGCTTGTTCCAGAGGCTGCCTGCATATATAGAGCGACGGATGTCTTTCTGGTGTACATCGAACATAAGCAACTCCAAGTTAATTAGCAGAGCGAGAAGCTTCGTAGTTCGTTGCATTCCTTAAGAGTATCTGATTTGAATGGCTGAAGAGAACAGGAGTGATACATGGCAACCTTATGTTGCAATGCTAGCAATTGAGCTTGCCTTTGCCGTAGTAAATGTACTATTCAAGAAAGCGCTTGATGAGGGAGCGAACCCTTTGGTCCTCATCACATACCGGCTTTCTATTTCGACCATTTTTTTGGCTCCAATCAGCTACATTTTGGAAAGGTGAAGCTCTTACTCAATTTTTCATTAGTCAAGACTCTCCTTTACGTAGTCATCTAGTTGCTCATGTTGTTAAAGATTATTTAGACAAACCTTCTTCTGTTGCTAGTTATTCACCACTGAAGCAACTCCGATAACTTCAATATTCCTGCTTTCCTCTGATATTCTTTGGATACTCAAAGTAATGGACTAAGCAAAGCACTCTTATTTGCAGGAATAGCAGGCCGAAGCTGACGTTTAGAATTTTGTGTTACTTCTTCTTCAGCGCAATGCTGGGGTAGTTTTATGCCTCAATCTGTTTTTTATTTTTCCAAAATTCTGCTACTTGATTAAGAATGGAAATAACTGTAGGGAGGTCTATTGAAATTTTTGCAGGGCGTCTCTCAGTCAATATCTCTTCCTCTTCGGAGTTCAACGAACATCTGCAACATTTTCGTGTGCGTTCCTAAACTTGGCCCCCGTCATGACGTTCGTTGTGGCCTTACCATTCAGGTACTGTCGAAAAACCCATCAATGACTCTTTTTTCCATCTAGAATGCAAGAGAGAGAGAGAGAGAGAGAGAGAGAGAGAGAGAGAGAGAGAGAGAGAGCAACTTTGTTACACACATAATTTCCATGCTAAGTCTACCCACTTGAGCGAACTTCTTTTACAGGATGGAGGTTGTGGACATAAGAAGCAGCAGCGGAATAGCCAAAGTGCTGGGTTCAATAGTGTGCATTGTCGGTGTCTTGACACTATCTCTCTACAGAGGAAGCTCTTTGCTCAACCATCCGCAGTTGACTTCGCATCCTTTTAGTCCCGCTGCGAGGCTCGGGGCGACGAGGAGCACAGCCAGATGGGTGATGAGTTCCATGGCATTGTTTTTAGGGACCTTATTGTGGTCATGTTGGTTCCTAGTTCAATCCAATATTGGGAAATTATACCCTTGCAAGTACACCAGCACAGCCTTCATGTCCTTCTTCGGTGCACTCCAATCTGCTATGTTAGCGGGCTTGACGCCGGGAAGGAGCCTCTCCGTTTGGGTTCTCAAGGGCAAAGTCGAGATACTCACCGTCGTTTTTGCCGTAAGTACACATTTCAATAATACCATATGAAGGTCGAACCTCAAAATCTTTCTTCCAGTGGAAGCTCAGAAACTTTTGTTAGATCCATCTAGCTTTTGTTCTTTGTTTGCTTTGCAAAACGAACTTAATCCGAGCCCACTTGAAGAACAGCCATACATAAGCTTGGTGAAAAGTAGGATTTTTGTCATCTTTTGCCATGATCTCTTTCCTACAAAAAAGGGTCACCCTCAAATCGATGCACTACTTAAATTGGACTTCAGTGCCAAAATTTTGAGAAACTCTAACGTCATGAACTTGGGTTGACAACCACGGGAAAGAGAGTGATGGACTTGCGCCCGTACATGCATCATGTCCATCTTTTTCATGCTCGCCCTCCCATGCATGTTGCGACGCGCACATCCAACCAAACCGAACCGAACCGTCTAAAACAATAAGCAATCAAATATAACTAAAAGAAAGAGTGTGAGCTACATAAGTCTTCCAACACGATGCAGTTTGTCTCGAAAGTTCTCATAAAGCTCAACTTGATAGGTAAAGCAAGCTGCTACATCTTTTGTGTTACTCATCGGTGTTGGTGCTAAACGTAGAGTATGGGTGGTGCAGGGAATGGTGTGCTCGGGATTGTGCTACGTGGGGATGTCGTGGTGCGTCAAGAAAAGGGGTCCCGTGTTCACGGCGGCGTTCAGCCCCCTCGTTCAGATATTCGCCGCCATGATCGGCATCCCCGCCCTCCAAGAGCAGCTTTATCTAGGAAGGTAACTCCGAATCTCATCCCCATTCCGATCAGGCAAAACCATCACATAAATCTCAATCTCTTTCAACTTACGTTGCAATATCTTCTTTGTCTCACCCAACTTTGGATGGACCAGCCTGTTGGGATCTGTTCTTGTGATCGTGGGACTGTACGTTCTTCTGTGGGGCAAGAACAGAGAGATGCACGAGAGTATCGAGAAAAAGGCGCAGCCGGTTCAAGACATTGAGGATCAAGAAGCAACAGTGGAAGCAGCAAAGAAGTAGCACATGAAAGAAAGTCACTTGATCTTCATGAAATTTTTCTGTTTTTCTGATGAGTTCAAGTCGGACGACAGAATGGTTAGTCGCAATCCGAAAATGGGTTGTTTCGGATTGCGACGCCTGTTCGTGAAATTGTCACCATTAGCATCGTCAAGCATGTATACCTCGCCGATCGTTCGAAGTAATGCCATTGGTTTCGGCAAATATTAAGTGATTGAATTGAATTTCTCATGGTGCAACATAACATTTTGAGGACATATCGATCGAACTTCAGGACACTTTTACTCCGTCGCGGGCGCTTTCCAACGGCTGATAGAGGATCTCGTTGTTCCGATGACGGCATAGATTGCGTATTCATCTGACGGTTAGCAATAAAATCCGGTGATCCAACGGTGAATAAAGCCCCCAACAACTTTACCGCGCAAAAGGGCACAGTCCACTAGAAAAGCCCCGAACTTTAACTATGGTCTTTATTTTGAGAAATTACTTTGGAGCCAAAATTTTAACTTTTCAGGTGTCGAATGATAATCATTTAATTTTTTTATTTTTTTATTTTTTTGTGCCTAAAAATAGGTTTGAAACAGAAATCTATTTGGCAATGCAATTTTATTTCTCTATTTCTGAAATAAATTTTGATTTTAGAAATAGATTTAGAACAGAAATTTTTTTTTGCCTGTTTGGAACAGAAATGAAAAGTTAAAATTTTATACTTTTTATTTCTAGAACAAAAATAAAAAATATAAAATTGTCTCATCGCTCGCCCTCACTACTAGTTGGTCGCCTACCAGCCGCCCATCGCCGCTCACCTACCATTTGCTGCCTCCCACAGCCACCCGCCGATCGCCGTCTGTCGCCTCCCACCATCTGCTGTCTCTCGCCGTCGTCCGCCTCCCACCACCGCCCTCCTCCTGCCTCCCGCTGTCGCCCGCCTCTCGCCATTGCCCAACGCCGACCGTCTCCTGCCGCCGTCCTTCACACTAGCCGCGCCATCGTTTGTCGTCCGCCCGCCATCCACTCGCTGGCTGCCCGGGAGGAAGAAATTTTGTGTCGTTATCAAATAAGTTTTTGTTGTGTCGTTATCAAACGTGTATTTTTGCTGAAAAACTCATCCACGGAATAGAAATAGAAAAATCTATTTCTGGCCATAAATTGATTTATGAAACAGAATGATTATCATTTGTACCCTTAATATTTTCGTTTCTTTGGCAAAATTTCCTTCATTTGCGAGCTCTAATTACTAAAGGGTTAATCCTCTTCAACATTTTTTTTATGGAGGAGGAGGAAAAGGAGGGGAATTAAAATGAGTAAAAAAGAATAGGTAAGATTATAATTTTTTTGCGAGGAGGAAATGGAGAAAATTTTCCAATGTAGGAAAAAAATAATTTTTATGTGATTGAAAGTCTGCTCGTATTAGTAGTAAGTTTTGATAATGAAAGAAAGGCAACTATTAATGTATTTATAGTTAGTGAGAGAAAATTACCTAATCAGTTCTAAACACATTGTACGAATGCCAATTCAATTTTAAACTTTTCATTTTTTGTCAATTTAGTCCTAAATCTTTGCGTGAAATTTCAATGTAATCCTTCCATCAATTTTCATTATTGTCCAGTTATCACCGACTGTCATACATGACACATCTCCACGTCAGTGATTTCCGATGGAAATTGACTGAAAAGACTACTTTGAAATTTCGTACAAAGGTTTAGAACTAAACTAACAAAATTAAAGAGTTTATGACTAAATTGGCATCCGTATAATCGATTTATGACTAATTGGACAATTTCCCCTAATTAGTGATGATATTTATATTTGATTGCTGTAATTTTACATGAGTGTTTATAGCTAATAATTTGTCGCAAGCATCCATTAATATTGTCCTTCAATGACTATTTTTTGGAATCAAGATTTCGTAGCTATAAACTAATTAACTTTTTTATATGTGCTTGATGCAATACTTCATTATTTACCTTAACCACATGTGCATATAAATCTGTTTTCCTCTCTATAGCTATTTTTAAAGGACTTTGCTATTTTTTTTATAAAAAAATCTCAAACCTTTGTCGGTGAGGCTCAAGATGCTGGTGAGCCAGATTTGGGCAAAACTGGCAACGGCCAATCTTACGAGGCGGCCTAGGCGACATTTAAGGTCGTGCAACCTCAATCGAGGTTTGCCGGCGCAAGATCTAGCCTTGTCAGCGGCTCGCAGTGGTCTGATCCCTTTGTCGGTGATATCGCGCAAGGCAAAGGCATTTTCCAGAATTATGAATGTTTAGCTAGAGTAAAGTTGGAAGAAAAATTGTATTAGTATCCTGGAAATGCTCAACTCCCAAAAGTCCTCCGAACCTTCCTTGGATTAAGCGCCTTTGTATTTCCCCAAAGCTCTCCAAAAATTTGTCAAATAGTATTTGCATTTGCCTAAAAACCTTTAGAGTAAGTATGAGTGAACACTTATGTATGGTGTCACTTAGGTGGAGCTTTCTTTGTATAAGCCTACTTCCTCGTTCATCCTTCTTCTTTCCCTTCATGGCTTTAATTATCTTCGTTCCCCCATTTTGAATAAAGGAAAGTAGATCGAGTTTTTTTGCCTTCTTACTAGAATTTAAAATGCTATCCAAAGTTCAAATTTTATGAATAAAATATATGTAAATTTACGTGTCAATATTTATATATTGAAAAGGTCTCGATTAGGGTGATTAACAATAAACCACTACGTGGATATCACAAGATTTAGATTCAGTAAAAAGTAAAATGCAAATGGTCATTCAGACTCGCCTTTGTCTTCTTTCCCAACAAACTCCCAAAGTGCCCCATAACATCCGTGCATATAACATCAGCGGTCAATGAATTTCCTTTTTGAATTGAAAACGGTCCAAATTACTTAATTAGTTGCTTAATCTGTGTCATGAAGCGTTAGATAACAAGATCCTCGACAAAATAGGGAAAAAAATAGAATGAAGTGGGCATCGTCAAACCCGATGGATCTTTCATGCCAAAAAAACCTGATAGATCTTTAAGATCGAGTTATTCTCGAATGCACGGGATGCATACGGGCCTAATGTATTTCAAAAACTCAGATACATCTTATGGTCGAGACATTCTTGGATGCACCAGATACATGTGAGCCTAACGTATTTTCCGCCTTTGGATCACCCAAGCTCTCACGTGCGATCCATCCAGATCAAAAGGCTCAAATGCGTTGGGCTCAAGTAAACCCTATCTCACCTGAGAATTTGTCCTTTAAACCGATAAGCGAGCAGGAAAATTGGCCCCACCTGGGACGCCGCAAAAACAACAGCCCACTGGAAGACGCTCGAATACTGAAAGCAACCCGCCGCCGTCATCCCACTCGACAAAAACCAGTACACAGAATCGCCTGCCGAGTGCGAGATTCATCCTCATCCCCATTTCCATCCACGTCCAAACTGAGCACGCGAGCATGTATTAATACGTACGGATCACCACATCGGACGGTCGTCCCCGAGATTTCGAAGCTCCGATCTGGGTTCCCGGCAAAGGCGGGGCAAGCTATTCGATTCGAGAAGGAAAGAGTTGTTGAAGAAGAAGAAGAAGAAGAAGAAGAAGAAGAGAGGATGATGATGGTGGCCATAATGGCGGAGATCATGGAGGAGTACACGGCGGTCCTGGCGAGGGTGCTGGAGCATCTGTTCCACGAAGCCCCGCTGCCGCGGCGCGTCCGGATCCTCATCCTCCGCAGCCTCCCGTTCGCGTCCCCGCCGAGGCGCCGCCCTATCCGAGCGCCGGCTCCGGTCCCCGTCAGCGTTGGCACCGCGTGATTAAGTTTTTCATTTTTGTCTTTCTGGGATTAGTCGCGTGTATATATACGAGAGGAGGAGTTTTTTTTTGGCTTTGATCGATCTGTTCTTCTTCCTCTTCCATGCTCTGTTTCGCTAGCGATTGACGTTCCAAGGAATGAACGAACGTTGAACCAAGCTCTCTCGTCTTCCTCTCCTCGGAAAATCTTACCTACATGAAAGCCGTCTCTTTGTTTGTCGGAATATATGATTATTACTCAATTACTAAAGATTCGTGTATTGGATCTCCAAAAGTTTAAGATTAATGTTCGTAGGAATCTAGGACTTGATGATCCTGACATGAGGGCGGGACTAATTACGATGGTGGTTGTCGTTAAAACTATTAGATTATGATTAATTATTTTAGGGTTCCGCAGTAATCATGTGTATTAATCAAATCACATAACAATTGTAAATGGAATAAAGGTATTTTCATGATTAATACGTATTGGGTTCGCTAAGTCGGATTTTAAGCGGTCAATCTCAAACTCGTCTCCCGGCCCAAAACCATAGACCTGTTTATATCCCATTTATTAGGGTTTGGACAGGTTGGGTAATGTAAAATTTAATATATTATGTAACGTGTAAGACTTGCTTTTTTAATACAGAGCAAAGTGGTGACTGGTCCGGTTTTTGCATAACTTGATCCACCTCCAAAGGATCTTAATGGCGCATTCTCCTACGTTATTATGGTGCATTCAGGATTTTACTTTGCGACATATTGTACTGTATTGATTATGAATAATTTACTTTATTGGAGGCTCACTTATAAGCGGGAAAAATTATCAATTCAGCCATAAACATATTGTATGTATGTTTATTCGGTGTTAAACTTTTTGAATTTGGCCAAAGTAGTCCTAAATATATGAACAAAATTCCTATATAATTCTTCCGACCAATTATCACAGCAAATCACTGATGGGGCGGTCCACATAGGACGTTATTTCAAGTAAAGTTATCCACATCAACTTGCCACATGGAACGGCTGGTAATGATTAAAATGCCACGTCAACAATTGACCGAAAGAGTTATATTAGAATTTCTTACAAAGGTTTAATGAACAGATACGGTGAAAAATGAACTCGTCAAGTTGACCTCTTTAACGTTATCACCGGATTTTGTGCTATCTAATGGTTTGAAAAATAGAGGGTGTCATTCATTTCTTTTCAATTTTTTCTTCATTTCTCTTTTGCGAATATATAATTTGTTGGCTTCGCAGAGATGCCCTTTTCTCTCGTTTGAAGCTTAAAGGGACGGCCTTGTGCTAATGTTGGAGCATTATTTGATCAGTATTTTCTAATTATGTGCTGATCCCCTTTTTTGTTTATTATCGAAAAAGCAAAGTAATGCATACAATTTCAGCAAGAAAAAAAAAAATGGGAACAATACGCATTTATAATCGATGATGTCCTTTAATGAAAGAATTTTTCGTTTTGATATTGCTACATTCAAATCACACGGGTGGTCACCATCCTCAATTCTGTTCTTGTTTATTGGAACAGACCGAGCAAATTCGTTCTTATCGTGATTAGAGTGCATAAATGTTCTATTCATTCGTTTCGATAAAGAATAAGTGATAGTATATAAAATATGTTCAGCGTCATACTCTAATGCTTAAATTTTTTGGAGCAAATGGTTGCGCAATCAATTGGTTTAGCTGGAATCATTCCATGTAAAAAAGATTGGTCAAATGTGTTTTCCTAAAGAATCAATTTGCCCTTGGCGCGTACGCTCCAATTTTAATAATCCGCCGGAGATGACTTCCTCGAGAAGGCAAAAATGCACAACCCCGGTGATTGCCGATTGGTGGAAACCAAAGCCAAGCCATCCCACGGGTTAGCTGGCAGCAATTATTCAGCTGTGAAATTATAATAATAGCAACTTCTAACCTAACATTAATTAGATGAAATTTAATTCTCTTATCATATGCTAAAGATTAGGACTTGGGATCCGTGTTCATATGAAGCTGGTGAGTTATGCTTAGTTTGAAAAAATGGGTTATGTGGTAGATCAAACTTACTCACGCACTTATTTCATTTAAATTGATTATACTTTTAACAGGTGTTGAATTGATTAATTTAATTTATTCGGGATACTTACATAATCTTTTTCTATTAAGTAAAGCTATGTACAAATGAGAAGAATTGATTGTATATTATTTGGATGATTAGCGTGTTACACTCAATGGTATTTTATATCGAGATATTTGTCCAAAAAGTCATAAACCTATTGTTCGGCGACCAATTCAGCTCTAAATGTTTTAATTATGTCAATTTAATCTTAAACCTTTCGACAACTTGCCAATTTAGTTATAAACTTTTCAATTATGTCAATTTAATCCCACACCTTTTGAAAATTTGACAATTCAATCTTAAAACTATTATTTGGATATTTGGTTAAAAGGACTATATTAATAAATCGTCAAAATATTTAGGATTAAATTGGCACAATTAAAAAATTTATGACTGAATTGACCTTCGTATAGTAAGTTTAAGATTTTTTGCATGATTTTTTCTATTTATATTCGAAAAGTATGCACAAGGAAGCTAGCTAATTTAAACAATCTCATATAAATCGACGATATCTTGTAATATTCTGACAAATCTACTCAAGCTCAAGGCGGCTCCAAGGAAGCCAAGCCAAGTGGAATTTGGACAAAGAAACTAGAAAATTTATCAAAGGCAGGAGAGGGGGGGGGGGGGGGTGATTTTATTGGCAGATGAGACATAGACAAGATCAATAATTGCGCCCCTGAAAAGACTACATTTCTGATGACCTGAATGGTGGCTTTGGTGTCTTGTCGCACCAAATGATAATCAGATTTTGCAAGACTATTCGCGGTTTTATTGGCAGAAGGGACACGGACGACATCAATGATTCCTCAAAGAAGATTTATCGAGTAAAGTGCTAGACAATGAGTCAATGATTTGCTCCTTGCCACGTGAAGAAATCAAGGAACCGCCAAGAAACGCACAAAACCCTTGTCCTAGAGATGCGATTATCGATGTGTCCGGCATAGTCCGCATTTGAGTAGAGGCGTAAATCTAGGTTGATGTTGGAGCGAAGACCATAAAATAAGGCACTCATGATGTATCGCAGGATATGTAGCACAATGATGTAGTGAATAGAACACGCAAAATGTAAACTGACTCCCCGGATGAACCGTATTTGCTTTGTCAGGATGGGTGATAGTTGAGCTACAATGGGTATAAGTGATCTCATCATCCGTCAAACCTTTTCGAGAGATAAAATCTAATGCGTATTTTGCTTGAGTCGGAAGAAACTACTGTACCCAAGAAATAATGAAGCAAATCCAGGTCTTTCAACTCAAAATGACGACTTTTGACCCAAAAAAAAAAAAACTCAAGATGACGACTAATATATTGGTTGGAGTCCAAATTGCTCGATAGTAGTATTGAATTTGGCAAACCATACGCATGCATGGTACCTATCTCAATTATATAAAACACTCGATAATCTACTTAAGATGTATTCTCATCATCTAAATGGTATAACAGAGAACTTAAGAGTGAGCGGACTCAAAGGGGACTAAGGTACACACTCAAATTCCTCACCTTAAACTGTTTGGCTAGTTCAACTAAGCCACTATCCGAAATGAGGGGAGGTACCATAAGGCTTCGCATTTAGGTTTCGACGTAATAAAAACTTGTGCTATCTTTTCGCATTTTTGCGTACAACGTGCAATCGGTAATGATTCTACTATAGTGCCACAAAATTGCAAATTGATCCTAAGTAATCGGTGTTCTTCATTGGATTCAAGGGGAGCGACTTCGTTAGATTGGGAAATGATGTGATTCTGCATGATACCTTGAATTCTTCCGTATAGAGTCACTTTGAACCCTTGTCGATTGAACATGATAAATTACACGAACCGAGTTCAAATCGACATACTAAATAAACACGCACGTGCTCAACAACATACGCTTTTAACTCAATAAGATAAGTGTATCATCTGCAACGGATTTATAGCTTCACTTTAAAAATATACTGAAGCTTTTTCAACACATACCTCTGTTAAGTAAAAAAAAAGGAAAATCATTTATTAATTAACCAGAGAAAGGACATCATACTCTATTAACTCATCTTGGGATTTATCTAGTGACAAGAGCGTTTCCATACTTACTTTCCGCTTAGGAACCGATTGTTATGGGTTCTGTTCTATAAAAAACTCATATTTAAGTTGACAGCCCTAGCAATAGATTGCTGTGTTAGTTCCTCTCTTGTTAGCTAGCTAATGACGATCAAATCATAATTATAAAAATATTAAAATAACAAGGATTAAATTTACCAAAAACGATAAGAAGGCTTCAATTTAAATTTATAAAGTGGTAGAAATTATTTCTTTTGGTTTGTTTATAAGAAGAGATGATTTGGAACGGTGGAAAAATAGTGCCTTTTTCAACGACTTACGCGGTGGAGGCAGACTTCTAAAAATTAATACGACAAAGCGATGATGATCGGTACCAGTACAAGGAACATAGCAGCAAACCAAGGAGACATCGAAGCCTTCTTTCTTAAGCATTTCTTCTCTCTTTCTTCTCCTTGACCCGAAGTCGGAAGGTCAAGCAACAGAGCGCTTCGGGAGGAGGAGGAGAAGAAGGAAGAAGAAGCTGTTCGTCAATCATCGCTAAGCTTGCTTCTCGTACAGGAACGAGGTTTATCTCCAATTCTTTTGTCACTTGCGTTCTTCGCTTGAACTCTCACACGATACGTATCGGATCACTCCCCATTCAAAGACCCCCAAAATGCGAGTTTTTTCCACTTGTTATTGCATATAGTTTGATGGGTACCTGTCCTTTTGCTAAATTTTAGCACTTGGGACATTGATCACCGGTTGAAACTGTTAGTGTAGGTATAAATCGGCTGTTTTTGAACATGGTTAGTGACTTCTTGAATGAGGGGTTTTTAACTTTTGATGTTGTTGAGGTAGTGGTGGTTCAATGGGGGGTCCGAGTCAGAGACAGTTATCGGCGTCGTCATCTCGCCTCTCGCCTTTGGCCGAGCCCTTCAAATTGAGCAAGCCCTATCAGCAGCAAGTTTACACTCACTCATCAGAGCCTTCAATTAACAATTGGCAAAGTCTCAGTCCTTCTGTTGTGTTGGTCCATCCGTTTTCCAGTCTTGGATTGGAAAGCGATGCACCGGGTGATTGCAGTTACTCTGTTTCTGACTTTGGAACTAAAGTCTCAGGCTTTCCTTATGATTATCAAGATTACCCATCTGAGGCATCCCAGGATCTCGGTGGTTATGAAACTGTATCCGTAATTGAGTCGTCTCTTGTGAATTGTGGCAAAGAGGTTTCCAGTCTGGTCTGTGATGGCCAAATGAGTGGTGTTGAGGATGAGGGCACTCAGGATAAAAAAGGAAGCAGCATTGGCTGTCAGGGGAGCATTGTTGTTGAGGGGAAGAATGCTAGTGATTCGACCGCATATCCGCTCTTTGCAAAGCAAGGTCAGTAGTTTCTTTTCGAATTTAGATGTTTTTCTGGTCCTGTTGGGTAGGCTGGATAGATGGAAGTGAGATGCGATTATTCTCGTCCTATCCAGCTTTCAAGGACCCCTTTTGGATTGGAAATAAGGCCCAGTAATACGTCTTGCATTTATTGTTCTAAGATAATATTGCTGTATGGTCAATAATTAGTTCTTGCTCATCTTATTGGTGTTTCACTTGGCGCTGACTCTTGTTGACCGTACTTTGCCTCATTTTCTGGTTGCTATATATAAGTGTCTAATTACTAGTATGTACAGCAATGTCTACGAGGGTTTTGATTTAGCGTTTACATCATCTATGCTAATTCATGTTATGGCATAATGGATGCTATGGCTTGTCATCGTGGTAGCATTGCTTTGTTTTGGGAGAGTGATCCAAATTTTTTCAGTCAAATTCATCCCGCGTGTTCAGAAAATCTGTTTTTGCCTCAATCCTGGTGGCTAATTTGAAAATTGCTAGTGAAGAACTAGACTACTTTGTAAGATTAGACAATAAGCAACCATGTAGTCTGGTATCAGTTCACATCAGAATACCTGTGAAATTTAGTATTTGGAAGTCTGTATTATATTGATTTTCTTGTTCAATTCAAACTCATCAAGACTTTATTAAGGGTTTGCTCCTCTTTTTGGCTCCAATCCAGTGGCATGCTCGACTCTTAGGCTCTTAGCTGTAGTGGTTGTGTAGATCTAAATAAAAGGCCTGTTATGTTTGGTTTCATTTACCTCAGAGAACCTCTATGACCAGGCATTCCATTAGGGTGCTCCAAACTTTGTTAGGGGTCTGGTCTGAATTTTTCCAATATTCTGACTCAACTATCTTGGCCTCTCGTCTTGAATCTTTAACTTTTGAGTGGGCTCTTGAGGATGTTGCTGTTTTCCTCTGAATGGAAACAACTTCACTATGTATTGGGATGGTGTGGACTGATAATGCCTGGCAAATTTATCCAGGCCCTCATCAGCAGCCCCTAAACAGTCATAAAGCTTTTAATGTCGTAATTTTGGCTTTATCAATCGTTTTTGGCTTGAGCAACAGTTCTCTTACTTGTATTTTCTTTTTTTCTTTGAGCCGAGCGAGATAGGTGTTCCTTGATGCTTTGTAATGTTGCGAGCTTTTGATCTGTTGGATCTTTTCTTTAGCGAAAAAAAAAAGTATTTGGGATGTTTGACAGTCTACAGGATTTCCTTTGCATAATGTTTGTAGTGAGAAAGAGAAAATTTTGTGTGATGTATAGAGGGAATGAGAATTTGAAAACCAGTATGAGTTTAGTATTACTTTGTCTGCTCATGAACTTTTCTCTCTGCAGGGAATAATGCTTCCAAAGGATCAAAGAGCTTCCACGAAACTTGTAATGATCTCTGTATGGGTTATTTAGAAACTTTTGCGAGAGATGATCAGGTCAAATTCCGAGGGACAGAGCAAAAAGAAGCTGAATGTACCTCATTTCCAGTACTAGATCCCAGTGTCAGCCCCTTAGAGCTTTCAGTTTTAATAAATCAGTATTCCTCTGCAACCTCCCCAAATAGTTACAGTCCCTCACAATGTCCAGCAGATGTGGTTAGAGGGAACAACAATAATCCTAACATTTTTTCATCTGAATCTGATGGATGCTTCCCCCAGTTTGAATCTCATAAAGAGAAACGTGCAGATTCTCCTTTTCCGGGTACAAATCACTGTCAAGCTCCGTGTTTTGGGCAATCAAGCATTGATGAAATAATTTCTCCCTCTGATCTTGCTGTTTCGAAACCTTCGAGTTTTAGTGGTATTGGGGCTTTCAACGGAAGGGAGAACGATAGTACATTGGAAATGGACTTTTCTGCTCATGACGAGAGATTTTCTGCTCTAGAAGGCGAGGAGAGAAAAAGTCAGAGATTTGACACTGTCATGAATGTTGAATCTTTGCCTGGAGTTCAATGCAAAGGGAAAGTTGCTGAAGGAAGTAATTTTGCCCAAGATTCTCTTTCAATGCCTGAAAAGGATGGACTCAACCTAAATGAGCTAGACGAGAGCGATGCTGACGAAGATTCACCTTGTTGGAAAGGACTGAACTTTTCGCAATGTGCGTTTAGAGAATCCGAAGCTTCAGAACATCAACTTGATGAAGCTCCTGATCGTAAACTTCAAGAAAATCGATCAGAAGCAAGAAAAAGTTTGAATCCCCTAGCACCTGTCTTTGTTCCTCAAAATATTGAACTTAAGTTGTGTCACAAGGAGATTGAATGTGCACAAAATGATTCCTTGCCTTTCCAAAAGCGTGCATCCTCAGCTGCTATCCCATTGTCTGAAGTACAGACAATGCAATATGACAACATGGCAAGACACTTCAATTGGGAAGGACTGAAGACAATTGGCCCTCAGTTCAGAAATGATATGCATAATCCTGCTCCGGAACCCCTTCTGAAGGGAAAGACAAGTAGCTTTGCTAAGGTTGATTCTGGTGTCACATCACCATTTCCTAGGGAGGATTTTGTTACACATACTGGTGATATTGGAAGGGGAACAAATCTTGAAGTCCCAGTGAACATTATCAATGATATCACACTTCCCGATGCAACTAGTGTTTCTGTCTCTGCGGTGGTGCATGTCTCTGAGTCAAAGTCACTTGAACGGTGGTCTTTTTTAGGAGTTGGAGTGCCCACTTACACTGAGGCTCCTTCCGATGTATCTGACCTAGTGTCCACATCATCAAGGACAGAAGTGGATGTACTTTTGAAGGAGATGCATTCTCTTTCAGAGTTGCTTATAGATAAGTGTGAGAATGGATACGTGCTGAGTGATGTTATACATGACAGAATCCAGGTTGTAATCAGCAATCTCTCAAGGTGCACAAAACAGAGGGAGAGGCAGTGGACATCTTTGGATGGATTAAATATTCCTGGGATCTTGAGCTTTTCAGACAAGTCTGCTTATGCATGCATGGTATGATTTGGTAGTGGTGTTGTTATATTTCAATCTCATCTGTAACTGGAATATAAACAGATAATATTTTGGGGAAAAGAGACTTCTGACCTAAGAATCTGCATATTTGGCAATAATTGATCTAGGAATTTTCATGCCAGCTCTCTGGGCATACTCATTTATGAACAATGGAGGAGCATTCTCGTTTGCCAACAACTTTTCCGCTAAGCTCTTTGGTGGGATGTACATTTTCCTTTTGGAGAGGCAAAAAGATGATAAGTTTCTGACGGCAATAGCCCTGTATTTCTAAGGAATTTGCCAGGGATCATATTATTCTTAGTTAGGATGTTGTGTGTTTACTCTGACTTAACAGCACATTAGGCAACGATTTGATATTTCTTGAAATAAGCTATTTACACTATGTTGAAGTACAGTAAGTCAAACAGATTTGCTATGTAGAAGTCTGCATTTTGTGCTGTTTTACAGGGATGAGGATTGTTGTCTGAAGTCCCGCCCATCTTGTACTACTACAGTGCAAATCTAAGAATGTGGACTAGTCAATAAGCTGCTTAAACATTTATATAATGTCATGTAGTGGTAACTTATGATTTATGGGCCTGAGCTTCACTAAGTAACTACTTGATGCAGAATACTGATTCAGTGCTGTCAAATAAGGAGTTGCAGGATGCTCGTCCTCTGGTCAGCAATATAAGTAATGGGATTCCCCAGGTACAATTTGCCACATTGCATTAAATTATATTTATCGGCAGTTGTCTTCACTGAGAGGACGTAATACTAGATGGCTCGCGGTTTGTGAGGTGCAGTTCATTGAGAAGAGTATGGAAGCTGCTCATGCTGAGGACCAAATGAGTCCCCAGACTGTATTATATAAGAACCTATGGCTTGAAGCTGAAGAGGCATTACATGCAATGAAGCATAAGGCATCCATTGCACGTATAAAGTCCAAGACATAGATTCACCGGAGTGAACACTTAAGTTTTGCTTCTTGGTTGAAGCTTGATTTTTCAGGTAAATAGTGTTCTCTCTCTTTAGAATTTAGATATTTTCGATCAAAATCAATGAACTTATAGGTTTTAATCAGGTGATCGTGCTGTGCTTTCAAGATAATTTCAACCATGTCATTTCATCAGATGTTAATGGATCATGTAACAAAAGGCTGACTTGACAGAAAAAAGACATGTCACTCTATCCACATGTCATATGGCATCTCAGCATTTTGGTAACTTATCTATTGGACGGTTGATGAAATGAAATGATTGAAATCATTTGGAAGGACAATGACCTGATTGGAAGTTTTAAGTTCAGTGTCCTGATCGAATGTAGCTGCAAAGTTGGATGACTGTAAAAGTATCTTGCCCTGATTTTGCTGTATGAGAACGTGAGACATTCTTTCACTACCCCGAGTGAAAGTCGTTTGAGACTTGAGAGTTTATATTTGATCCCAGATGTTAGACTTCTGGAGATGATGGGGAACGGGAACTACACATATTTGAGATGACGAAAGAAACTGTAAGCCATGCTCAAGTTTATGTTCATACGTTGTTCATGAGAGCGTATGATTGCCCGTGATGGCTCAAATAGTCCAGCCAGAAAATGCATGTTTTGTTTCATTAGAGGGAACTGACTGCTTTTCTCTCTCTCAATCACAATACTGCGCAGATTACATAGTATTTAGCAACAAGGGGTCATCGCAAACTGTAGGAGATATTATGTGTCTGTGTATGCGCGCATCACAGAGATGATCATCCGAACACTGTATGTTTCTAATCACCGAAGAATTATTTGTGATAAGTTTTCAAGTCATCAAAGGATGGACAGTCCATGGTTCAACAGCAGGAAAATGCAACAGCCCAAACCTGAAAACAAGAAAAAAACACTACCCCAGCCTCACATCCATTGGGACACTTGTGTGTAGCAAGTTCAGACTGATGGGGCAGCCATCTGAGTCAAACCGAGTTCAATCCTTGTTGCTGTGGATGCATACTGAACAAGAAGGTATATCGTGAGTTGTATCTCTGTTGCACGGAGGGTACATTTATCATTACGCATAGATCGGTGCTTATTTGGTCACCCATTGTTCTGCAAATAGGATTGGACGTTTGCAGCTTATCCAGAATGAATCGTATCTCAATCACCCATCTATTTTTGAGCGATGTGCCACGATCGCGTGTTAAATTAATCCATCCATGGAGACTATCCATTTCCACAATCACACGATTGACATGCGCACAAGATGGACAGAACCTGAATTACATAAGAATGAAGCTTCAGGATTTTTGTTACATGTTTGCTTTTCTAATGCTTTGGCAAGTCCTAAAGCCCATTGGACTCTCATTACTCACAGAAGAATATGAATAGCTTTATCGATCATTTAGACAAATGAATATGAAGATGTGAGATGGAGGTTGAGCTGGCAAGCAAATGGTGTAACAGGCGTTGTCTATGTAATTTTTGTCAAACCCTGACTGACACCCCCATATGTTTTAGCTCATGGGGATGATGCTGTTTGACATTAACGCTCTGTACTATCCTTTTCACTTTTATCAAACCTGCAATTTGACAGAGAGAGCTGCTGTGTACGTGTCTCAGGATTAAAGGTAAAGGGGCAACAAAAAGGACTTGAATCACACTGCTTAAATGCTACCCTTCAAGTAATACAGTACAAAAGCGACACTGAAACAAGAACTCCTCCCTCTTTCCCAAGACACTAAAAGGAGGGCTTCATCTTTCACGTCCTTCGTGAATGGTGGATTGCACATAAGCTTCACTTTGTAATTAGGGGCTACATCTTTAGGAAGGAAGACAATGACCTTATTTTCTTCCACAACAAAACATGAATGGTTTCTTTCTAAATTAATTTTGTGGGTAATGGCTCGAACCCTTGAAGCTTATTGAGCTAAGAACAAACTAAAGCCGAGCAGATTATGAATGCGATCGTCTTTTTTTTATTGTCTTATTGAACATGGTCCTCACATGTGGCCTTTACTTCCAATAACATGGACTTGCTCAGCTCTAGTTGTTAAGTACTTAATAACTAATGGAAAGAAAAGAGTAATACCGTGTTAAAATAGCAAGAGAAGATATGGGGACTTCAAAGCACAAGGGAAAAATTCATTGGACTTTGATGTAGTGGTAGGATCACTACCAGTCTTATCTTATTTGCTTTTATGGTACGTATATGTTCACTTTTTAGGTAATGTGGAATCTTAACTAAATTCACGTGTCGTCATCAATTTCAGTCCATTAATCAAGGCCAAAATATTAGGCACGTTTCTTACCAAGCAAAAGACCATATGAAATGACACCAATAGTCCCTCTATTTTTTGTTTGGAATTTAAAACCGCCTCTTTACTTTTTTTTTTTGTCCGAAAATGGTCCCCGAACTCTTTAAAAAGTGCCACCATTCGTCCTTATCCCTTTTCGGTGATGGATTTTGTTGACATGGACTCGGCACCATTAAAATTACCGACGTGGACTTTAATAAGAAATTGACATGGTTTTTGTCAACTTTTTCAATATTTTTGCATTTTGCAAAACTCTCTCTCCACCCACGAAAAGAACTTAAGGATCAAGATTTGCATGCCCTAGGCGATGTCGTGGTGGTCTTGTCGACTCAACACTCCCGAAGTTAAAATTAGCTGAAGGACTAATAGTGACAGCTTAAAAAATTACAAGGACCATTTTGGACAAGGTTTTGAATTTCGGATAAAAATAGAGAAAAACACCAGTGCCCTTTCACCAAAAGACTATGTCCACAAATGGCCCAAACACTTTCTATACTTAATTACAGTTCAACTGTCATGATCTCACGAACTATCACAAATCATTACAGACCTGCCTTGTTTCTTTCCTCTTCTTCCCCATTGCTTAAAGAATTGGGGATTAGAAGTTGAAGGAGCTCTTTTCATACGAGAGAGAGAGAGAGAGAGAGAGAGAGAGAGAGAGAGAGAGAGAGAGAGAGAGAGAGAGAGAGAGAGAGAGAGAGAGAGAGATATGGGACAGCGAAACATTGCAGCTTAGATGCCGAACGACCTGTTGGAAGTACAAGGACAATCCATGTAGCATTCCACACAGAGAAAGCGACAAGTCGTATGATTGTGGGGGACCCTTCTTAGAACTTGGTTAACTGGGTATCCATCTCTTGAAAAAGCCCATGTCATCACATTCGATTCCAATGTCATCGTCTTCTCCCCCAATCAACATGTACAAGAGGAAAAAAAAAAACAAAAGTAGAACTTTTGATTCGAACATATCTAGGCCAAAGCCATTTACATCTAGTCAATTTATTATTCATTCGCTTCTTCATCGTATTAAATTCGCGGTGCAAATGTCGTTAAAATTATGCCGAACACTAATCCATTAAAACAACTGACCGCGTTACCGCTAAGTGTTTGGGAATAGATTGTTTGAGCATTTCTCTTGAACTTTGCCGCCTGTCACTCTCTAAATTGGAGACGAATTCCGAATATTCTCTCCCACATGGTCCATATGATCCATATGTGCCATACTTTTATGACCACAGTTGTATCCATTAAAGCCAAAGTGATAATGTAACATAAATGCCTCGAAATCATTAAGAAGAAGAAGAAGAAGAAGAAGAAGCAAGTTGGGCTGAGGCTGAGCAAGCCAAGTGAAGCAACTGGCATGACAGAAAGAAAGGGAAAGATGGGATTGGAAAATTAGGTCTAGTTGGATTGAAGAAGACAAAAATTGGGACAAGAGAAAGAGATTGGGATTGGAACTCAAAAGAAAAATTTAGAAAAGGGGAAGGTAGAAAGGAAAAATAGGGGGATTGAATAGCAAAATAGGGGCACTGGGGCAGTGTTGGGGGGATACCTAAGCAATAAACTAGGGATGGTGTACTGAGCATTAAATCCGCCCCATTACATCCCCAGGTGGGTCAGAAATCTCTCAGATTACTTCATTTTTTTTGTTCAAGCAGCTCCCTTAGAAAACAAATGGGAAGGACCTACATTGCCTCTTTTCCTTTCTTTTTCTTCTGATTTTTACGAAAGTCGAACGAGTAAGCTCGAATGAGCTGTGGGATTTGTCCTCTTCGTTCAAATCTGGTTTCGATTCGTCACAGTTGCACATTCTCCTCCAGAGGCTGTCCCACAGCGCACAAAACATATGTATCTCTCATAATTTACCTATAATGTATATGACTGATGAGCTGCCATCCAATGGGGATTAACCGAATGCCGAAAAAGAGCAAGAGAAGAACAAGATTATGCTCGCGACATTTTAAATCGGAGTATTTTATATAACCCAGTGTATCATCAATAAAAACTGTGATTTTGCGGTATCTAATGAGCAACTCCTGTGTATACTGAGGATTCCAGTAAAGTACGATAAGTGACGCAAAGAAGGGTCGTCAATCAAAATATTACAAATACCACTGCTAAACATAATCCCTTGTTTTTTTGCCATTGGCATCTCCGCGTTTGCAATAAAGATCCAACAGGAAAGAACACTGCGAGTGCAAGCCGTGAGCGGGATCAACAGTAGTCGATGATATCAGGAAACCCATAATGTGGACTGTAGATATAGAAACAAAGTTGCTGGTCTGTACTCAAATCAGGGGGGGGAAGAAGAGTAGTTCATGGTGTGTGCGGGGATTGTATGGGCATGAGCTGTAACTATCATCCCCCCTCCCCCCCCACATACAGACATACATACATACATATATTCGCTTGTCTATAATTGTGGGTAGTTGTCTGGGATCGGCTGCCCCTCTTTTTGCACTGTCATTGTTAATGCTCTGTCGCGGCCTCTCACTCTCTCTCTCTCCTAGTACTTTTGCTGCTGCTGCTTCTATGCACTCCCTCCTTTCTCTCTTCACTTTACTGATTTACTTGCCGCGAGGACAGAGAAAGAGAGAGCATCAACGGTGAAAGATTGGAAGTCCAATCAAAACCAGCCGGCCAGAGCCGTCCGATCCTTGACATGTTTGATGACTCGGAACCCCAGGTCCCAAATGGATATGCTGTCCCATTCTCATTCTCACTCTTTAGCAACGTGGAATGTTTAGTTGGCCAAGAATTGGGGGGGGGACGGGAAAAAAGGGAATGGTGCCAAAGCTCTATATTCAATCGATCAAAAATAACATCTTGACTATATTCACCAGTGCTTTTCCGTGCTCGTTTTAAATAGACTAATAAATGAGGAAGATTCCGAATTCTTAATAATTTTGATCACTCATGTTTCAAAAGGAGAAGAAGTATGAAAATTCGTAAACTATCCTTTTACCTATTTGTCCTAGCATCGGGGATGTAAGAACAAGTAGTATGATTTACCATCAAGAATACCATTTGTCGTGATAAACTCATTTAATCGAGCTCCAAAAAGGGTATTCAAAATAACCACGCGAGTTCATGATCATTTAGAGTGCATCTTACCGATAAAATAAAGTCGAAAGGCTCCATTTTTATCCAACATGGTCCCGAGCATAATAAAGAAAATGGGATCCATACGAGATCGGGCTTCGTTTCGTATGCCTTTTTTACCTTGTGGATCGACTCGTAAAACAGACAAT